TTATCAATATGTTAATATCAAATTATCAAATTAAACTCGAATTAATTTATATTTTGATTGTTTAAATATATTTATTTGAAATTCTTAAACTCAATTACAATTCAATTTATATTTTGATTGTTTCAATAAATTATCTTGAAAGTTTTCGGATTTCTTATTTTCAGCTGAATCCTTGTATATCTCAACAAAAACGTTTTGTTAATAGTATAGAATATCTCTATATTTCAACATATAATTCTACAAATTATTTCTTGTAAACATCTTTATGCAAGCACTATTTGATTAGATCAGAAATTATCGCCATTGTAATCATATTCCATTGGAGGAGCCTATATATTTGATGAGAATCAATAGTATGGATGAGATTCAATTATTTGATGTATCTCAGGGGGACTTCGTGTTTCCCATTGAATTGTAATGTCCAAAGAGATCTTAAATTTGCTTCTATTTTGCAGGTTTTGTGCCTTAATAGATACCAAATTAATTAGAATATTCTAAAATTCATGTAAAATGCTAGTATTCTCGTTATAATTTAATTTTTTTATCAATTCCTTTTATTCCTAGTATATATTCCTAAATTAATAAATATCTTAATACTTTTTTCTTTTTCATCATCAAAGTTTTAAGCTTTGATAGAATATTTAGGACTGGAAAGTTGCAGTGCTATCACATTCCACATACTCTTCAAAATTGTCCTTTTCTTCCTAAAACTTTTCACTCTTTAATTACATATCGTATTACTTTAAATTAAATATACATAACCTGATGGTACTCTTCTTAATAATATCATTTTTTCTTCTTTTTTAAATGTTTCCCTTTTTATCTTTTTTTCTTCTTTTTTTTTCTTTCCTTCCCTTCTTTTAAATTTTTTGTCTTAAGTTGTCGATTTTTACTAAATTAACATATCTTCAATTACTTGTTTCTCCTTTATATCTTCCTTACCCATCTATCTTAAAAATTAGATAAGGACAGAAAGAATACATTTTACTGGTTTATTCTGGATTATTCTCTAATTGTATAAATTAATAAAATTATTGAAAAATTTCCAATCTATTATAGTATATTAAAAAATAATACTAAGATTTATATATTGATAATATATACAAAAATAATATTTATAATCCATCGAGGCTCTCCCTCCTACATTGTTGGATTACTCATATTATTTTATTCATCAAATCAATTTTTCAATTTTTATAAAGTTTAAAGTACATGCTAGCCAAATTGGGTATTAAGTTAACTAGCTTCTGGATATATTTTTATGAGTTAATTATAATCAAGCTATTTACAAAAATTTTATATAACATAATTTCCATAACAATTGTTTGATAACCTATAGAAAACATTCATATTGTTAATGAACACCTTCAGTATCTCCTTCCTCATAAATGAAGAAATGTTTACACTTTTATCAACCACATTGCTATTATGAACAATTTATAATTACCTTCCAAACTTGTCACAACTTATTATTTCTAAATTCCTAATAATGCTGCATTGAATCTTCTAAACTACTTCAAAAGGTCCCCTTTAAAGTAAAATCTAAATGATATAATTTCCATATTGAGATAAGCACAATTCATCTTGCAAAGCCAATAATTCTTTGTAGATACTATTTAACTAATTTTTTTATATGAAACGAAATTTTACTTAATGCATTGCTGACTATTCTAAAATTTGTTAAATCAATCTGCAACCATGTGAGTCATTTGATAGTTTTTAGATCTATCCCAAAACTCCTTCAATTAGCCAATCAATTTTCTAAGATTTCATCAATTCAGCTATCTTTTAAATTACATGATTTCCATTTATATCGATAACAAGATTTCGTATTTCAGATTATAGAATAGTAAACATCTAAACAAATTTATCAGTATCGTAAGATATTTCTAATAATTTCTGAGCCACTCTGCATCCATAAGTATTGTAACTTAGTATCAAAATAGATTAAGATAATTGGTCGAATATTAAATCTCTTTATATTTAACTGCCTTGCTCGAGAAATCTTTGGACAACATAATTCCCAAAAATATCATTAGCTAATTAAACTAAACCAGGCAATATTTAAAAAAAAATATATTGCTTCTATTAATCATCTCCTTTTTCAAATAGGCTCTAAATTTTTCGACTATTTAATTGATCTTTGCATTTAAGAATCTATATTTAGTTAATTAATACTAAATCTCCATCTAAGAATGAATCATCATCCAATGAAAATGGTTGTATTGCCCAACAATCGAGTTTAAATCCAATTATTGGACTTTATATCTTCTTTAATGAATATCTAATTAGCAAAATGTAGTTTACTGTATTTAGTGTTACTATCTTTTGATTTAAGGAGAATAAGTCTTGTTCGTTTCAGATCTTGCGATTGAAGGTGAGAAGGATCTATCTTCATCACTTTCAAGAGCTGCAATTCTATTAACTAAAAAGTACCATTAAGAATAGAATCAATAATTTCTTGATCTTCTTCAGGATCCATGTAATTAGTCATTAATTCTAATTTTGCAATTATATTGGATACCTTTATAATTTATTATTAGTAGATAGTTTATATCAAGATAAATATAGTTTTATGCATAGACACCAAAAGATTCCTAAATATTTCAGCCATGGCTTGATTCAGATGCAATTTTCGTTAATTAATGAATTAGATAAATAAAATGACTACTCAACCATTGCTTAAGGACTTTATTTGATACCTCTAAATTATGATAATTAACATAAAACATTATAGGAATAAATTAGAAATATTCTGAAAAGCATCAATTATAGATTGGCTCAGTTTATCATCTTTTTATATAATTCTATAATATAATATGATATGGAGCTGATCTTATTTGGCAGATTTAAAGTATAAATGACTAATTCGATTTAACAACACTGGAATATAACTTGTTTATCACAATACATGAATATCATATAAATTAATAACAAGTTTATACCCATAAATCGAAATATCAATCAAAATAAGATTACTTTACTTTATTTGATTAGATTAAAGAAATAGTTCAAGTATTTCAATTTAATTTGGCAAGACTGACTTGGAAAAGAACCAAAGCTTATCATCAAGTTACTTATGTATGGACTACAATTGTTTAATTATAGATCTAAGAATAATATTGGATTACTTCATTGAATAATAATTTACATAGGGATATAATAGAATATTTAATGCCACACCCTAAAACTAGTGAATTATATTAAAATTAATTCGTTAACTTTCAAGTAAAACCATTCAAATTATTCTAATCTAACTTTAAACTCAAACTTAACTACTTGTTTTCCTAGTGGCTATTTACATAAAACAAATCTTCATTTCAAATCTTATTTCCTTATTCCAAAAAATATTCTCATATTTCAGATTATTTAAAGACATATTTATATCAAATTAGAAATTAAACTCCTCAGAAATGAAGGTTTTGATATATTCTAAATTTAGTTTTATTTAATAATAGTTGCTTTTCTAAAATGACACCATAATGTGAGGATCATTATTTACCATTTTAGATTATCAATTTGATCTTTTAAATTCAATTTTAATAATAAATAAAATAAATATATATTTTGTTAATGTCACTTTAATGATAATTCAATTAAATAATTGAACAATCTAATTTACCATATATATATGCCTATTTAAGAAGAAATTTTAAATGAATTACTTTATAAATAAATTAAAAACTTTGTAGTAATCAAGAAAAATGTCATTAAATAATCTAAGTTGGGAATAATTGGAAAATCCATCAAAATCAAAATTAAAAGAGCTTTATTTAAATAAATATAGAAGTAAATTAGGGTTATTTACAAATCATAAAGAGTAATTACCAAATTCAGTATCAATATACAATAACTAGTTAGAAACCTAAACAAAGAAATATTTCAATAAAATAATTAGATCATTTGGTTAAACCAGAAATGTTAAAAGCTAGGATGATTACAGAAAATTAAAAGGTACTCACTGCTTAATTAATTAATAAAATAACTTAAAAATAATTAGAATAAGAAAATTTTTGTGTATTTCCCTAAATTACATAAAAAAATACAAAAAAAAGATCAAAAACTGAGCAACATTAGAATAATTAATACAATAAATAGTAAAAAGCTCTTGCTCGGACTGCATATTTGATTGTATTATGATATTTTTGCTTAAATAATTTTTGTACATCTCTTTGCCTGATTGCCAATAATATCTAAAAATAAATAATTGATAGATTCAATATTGAATATTTAACTAATCATAATACATTTACTATCATTATTTAGTAACTTGTTTCATACTATTGATACTTTATTCAATTAATTTAACCATTGCGATAATATCATCAAGTAATTCATTTCTATACATAGCTTCTATTTTTAATTTAGGTCCACATTTGAAACATTCCTTATTATATCCTTTTTTGCATTCAAAACAATACGAATGTCCGCAAGGAATAATTGTAACGGGTTGTTTTATGAATTTGTTACAAAATGTACAGGATAAATTCTTCTATATGTCTCTCTATGGAATATTTAAAATATTATTATTACATCAGTTTTTTCTAATTGTAAAATTGTATCTGTAATTTATTTTGTGTTTTTTGGTTTGGATAATTGTTCCTTCAAAGATTCAATTTGCTTATTCAAATTATTAATTTCCGATTTATTATTTTAATCCTATTAGTCCAACAATTATTGTTGAATTCTTAATTATTCCAGTCGCAATATTTTTTCTTATAATTATAATTATAATTCTTGTTGTTTTAGCTTTAATTTTTCCAATTAATCTTTTAATTCTATTGAATTTTTGGATTGATCTTCAATTTTTTATCTCAATTAACCAATATCTTTCTATATAAGATGGTATTCATACATCTCTGATTTTTTATAACTCTGAAAGTTATGATTTTAAACTTAAAATTTACTCATTTAGTTTGCTATTTTAATCGTTTTAATCTTTAGATTTCCATAAATTTTCCGATATTGTCATCTTTTCTTACTCTAGTTGTTTTATCTGTAGCAATGAAGCTGAAATCTCTTTATTCAAATTCTGCTGTTTTAGTTAACTATCATGATTAAGAGATTCATATTATTTCTTTATATTGTTTTTTTCATTAACTTCCTTCTCTATATTTTTTTAAATATCATGGATTTAATGTTCCATTCTACCTTGCTAATCCTTATTTATTAACAAAATTTAATACTTCAGCTTTATGCAGTTAATCCTTTAATCTTTTAAATTCTTCATTACTTTCTTCTTTACTCTTTAATTTTTCTGTATATTAAGATATTTATTAATTTAATGATTCTATCTATTGTAATAACCCCTATTCTTTTGTTTAGAATTATCTAATGCTAATTTCTAACGTATTAATTTTCTCCCTATCTTTCTCAGCTTATAAATTTTATTTAGATGAATCGCCTGCCTACTTAAGTCTTAACTAAATTGCTTAATAACTAGCCTATAATTCTTATAATTATTTGGATTTCTCTTCATTTTAATTTTTTTCCTTTACTAACTCTTATTTCATTGATACAAAACCTTTTTCAATTGAGATAATCATATTATTTCTGTATTCAATGTCTTTCTTATGAATTTCTAGTTTTGTATCGATTTACTTCAATAACTATGATTCGGAAACAGGAGTTTATTACTGCTTTTTATTTAAAGATTCTGAAACAGCATTATTACTACTAATTATATAAGTATTGCTTCCAAATTTCAACTTTCTCTAATAAATGTGCAATCTTCCAGGACATGAATCATCCTCATGAAGAGAGGGTCTATTGTTAATTTATGGCAAAGGTTTTATTGTACTTTTCATGTAAATAAATTTAATTATAAAGTTTATATCAATCAGAATTCATAAAAGAAAGCACTTTATAAATCAATTGAAAGTAGAATATGAATAAATTGATAATAAACTCAAAATTATAATCTAAAAGGAAGTTGTTTTAAATTTAAAGTAAATTAGCATTTAATACTTCTTCTTAATCGATATTCTGTTAAATCCTATAAATATCTAAAAATTTCATTATCTTTAATTGCATGACTGTAAATTAAGGTCTAACAAAAGTTTTCAAAGGTTGGGATGAGTATTATTATGAATTATTTCCCTTTTTGCTAAACTACTAAAAATGTTAGTATGAAAAATAATAATATCTCATAAACATATAGACAATACCAAAAGTAGTATTAGCAAAATTTATTTAATGGGTAAAGTTTATTTACTTTTTCAAAATACCAGACATCTTATTCTTCTCTGCAATTCCACCATACTATTCCAATTAACTTCTTCCCAGTGTAATTTTTAACAATCCAGAAATTAAGTGAGGTTAAGATAATTATCAATAGCATAAATTGTTCAAAATCAAAACTTTATAATTCTAAAATAAACACAGCAACTATTATAATTTTGAAAAGTATGTGCATTATAATAGCAACATTATCTACTGTTTTAGTTAAATCAATTTTACCATTCGATAATAATTCTGGAAATAGAAATCTAATATTGTTTCTATTTTTACGTAACAGGATTGAAATATGAGAAGGAAGTATGTACCATATTGTTAATTACGATTTCTTCCTGATTGCTAGGTTAATGTTCTTCCTTATGATAAATTTTTGATATCATAATATTGATAATAAATTATTTAAACTGTTAGAACTATTATTTATTTGTATTTAAGATAATAGACATTCCTTAATCTGTGATTGATCATATTTACTAAGAAATTTTAGATAATTTAAAATAAATAGTATGTTTATAATTACTTAAATAAGCATACAAATATTTATTATTAATTTTTAAAAGTCTTTAATATGAGATAAGAATAATTGGAATAGCTATTAAATCTGAAATAGTACTAAGTCAATTAAAATAACGATCCAATCTTTGAATTATTGCCTATATAGCCAACATATAAATAGGAAATGGACAAGGAAGTGCAAAAATTAGAATAATAATCTCTTTTTGCTGATTCAATCGATGTTGATATTCCAGCCTTAAAAAAAAACAGAGAAGAAAAAAGACTTAGAAAAATGGCTAAAATGTCATAATTAACTGAAGGGTGGTTTGGAATGAAATCTCAAGACCAAGATGAAACCATGAAATAAGAGTTTTTGATTATGAAATTAAAGAAATACTTAGACCCAAAATAGCCAGTTAAATCAAGTGATTTAAAAACGATGCCTAAGTATTTTTAAGTGGGAACCTATGTTGATGGAATGGGTATTAATTTTTTTATTTTATAGATAATTATAATATTAAAAAAAAAAAAAAGAATTAGAGTGACTTGATTGACCAATTTTTAGAATATGATAAGGAGAAATAAACCACAAAAAATTCATTTTAGAAAATTTAACAAAGGTAATAACGAATTAGTAAAGTCAATTCAAAATTAAGAAAGTTAAAAAGAATGGCAAAATCTTTAGGAAGAAAAAATAAATGATAATTTATTATTGTTCTGTTGATATCTTATTTAATTTTAAGTAAAATTACTATTCTTTCTAATAAAAAAATGTATCAGAAACTTCATGTTTCTGAATAAATTATTTAATTAAAATGATTATTTGTAATTAAATGATTTGGATTGATAAAATGAATATTGATTATTTGATTTCGATTGATAAATGATTATTAATTATTAATAATAGAATGACAGAAGAATTAAATTCAAGTCTGGACTCTTTGGAATTAGAAATCTATCATCGACCTAATCCAAAGATATAATCTATTATTAACTACTTAAGAAAAATTGAATTAAAATTCTGCACTAATCCTAGAAAAAAATAAGAAGAATACACATTGAAAAATACTGAAACTTCAAAAGAAGGTTTTTAATTGCAAAAAAATAGGTTTTTTAATCGAAAATAAACAAATAAAAATATTGACTGTCCCATTCTTTGAAAGTCATTTTGATTATCTATTTTGTTTATCTCAATCTATTAAAATATCAATATATCTACTCTCTATTTCTTAGAATCAATAAATTGTATACTCTAAACAACCATTTAACAACCACCGATTTAAAAATTTCTCTTCTCTATTTTTTAAATATGTCATTATTCATATACAATTTATTATTATAGAAGAGTAGCAATTATAAAATCAAAGAAAATTCAGGAGTTAATAATGAAAAAATTCAAAAAGAACTTTTACCAATTATTTTTATTATCAATTAAAAGTATAATATTAATGATCAGACTATAAAGAACATCATAGATTAATAATTCTTTCTAATATAATCCATTTTATTAGGTAATAACTTGCAATAATTCTGTTTTGGAATTTATTTAAAATAACAAAATAATTTTATTTTTCTAAATCAATTTATTGGATACCCATATAAATATTCATCTTAGATCAAAGATTCTTATACTTTATCTATAATATTAATTAAATTTACTTTCTTCAAATTAACAGATTTTTTTAGGAATAATGGTACAAATTGACTTTTGACATGACAATAATTTAACATTAATTTTTCATAAATTAAGAGAAATTTCAAAAAATTTTTCAATCTAATATATTATCAAAAATTAGCTAATTATTTAACCAATAAATTACGACCTTGGAAAATGTTTAAACATTTCTAAATATTTTTGACCTCACATTTAAATTAAAGTGCAAAAACTTTTATATTTGAATATATTTAATTATCATTTTATACTTCTTGCTTCTTCGCTGAATGTTGGATAGTTGGAAGCTCAACTATAATTCTTTCAAATTATTTCTTTTAAGTCAATGTATTTAACATTGAAAAATCCACCAAAACTCAATATCAAAAATTATTTTCTATTTTTTGAATTGATGGTTAACTTAAAATTAAGTTCGATATTATTATGTTTTATTTATCTAAAAAAATATTTAAAAAATAATCAAATGTAACACCAAATATGCCATTTTGATTTTTTCAAAGGACAGATTCCATAAAAAATGCAGATATTGCACAATTAAATGTCTCAATATCGACTTTGATAGTATAATGTATGAAGATTTAGACATATTTTAAAGATGCATAAGGTTTTTCTATTTTAAACTCTAGATCTTAATATTGATTTATCGCCTAGTTTGTTTTTAGAATAGATCCATAAAAGTTTATATTTAAATTAAAACTGTAGAAACTTTTTTGCAATTGATAAATTTGGAAGAAGGGATTTCTAAATGATTGCCAAGGATTAGATCAATTAATATTAATTTCGAGATTACAACATTTACAGCCACCAAACTGATGTTCTTAATATTTACAATTTTATAGGCTTTATAGAATTAATTCAAAGGAAGAATATTGTTTAAAGAACTTAGCACTTGTGATGTTACTCAAAAAACTTTAATATAAGGTTTTACAGCAACAAGAAGTATACTCACAAATGAAAATGAGATATTTAATTTAGTTATGCATTAATTTGGTGGATTTGTATTGTTTTAATTTAATTAATGAAAAATTAAGGAGTTTAAACTATAGAGTCAGGAGCTTATAATTACTTTTTGTTACCTCCTATAACTGAACCTTTAAAATCAGGAATATCTTAAATGATATAATTTAAGAACTCTTAATAAAAATTCAAATTAAGATCAACTGATTCTAAACCAACAATTTCATTAAAATAGGAATAAATAAAGGAAGGAAGGAGAAATAAAGAGTTAGTTCTACATCAACTACATTTACCCTTAATAAAGCCTGAATTACACATTGCCTAATCGAAAATGAAAGAATAAATTGTTTCATCAAATAGGCTCATTGATAATATTTAACTAATCAGCTGTGGATCAAGAGCAAGGAATCTATCTAACAATGATTAAATCAATAAAACAGAGAGATTACACTAATTTTCGATTCGAGGAACGCAAAGTTAAATCTAAGGTAGAATACTTACTTGATAATATGTTTCAATTATAATTAAATATAAAATTGGATATTATGAAATTTAAAGAATTAATTGGAATGTAACAATATTGTGATTTGACAATAAGCCATAATAGACATCAGAGTGTAACGGATTAGAGTAAAAATTATTAAGTTTAAGAAGTTAAATTCATAGAATGATGGAAAATTTCTCTAGAAATTATGATTTAATACAATAATCAGATCCTCTAGAAAATATAATGGAATTCACTCCTTAATCGTCACCCTAAGGAAGTTCCACAGAAATAAAAAAACAGATAGATATAAAACATGATGGTTCTTTGACTTTGCAAGAGTTGAAATCTAATTAAACAATCATAACTTAGATATACTAGAGTTGAAATCAATTTAAAATGTAACAAGATTCAGGTTTAATTATTTCTATGTGAGAATATATGATAGAGAAAGTCGATTGCAAGCTTATGTTAGAAGTGAAAATTTGAAATTACAGACATTTAAGATGTATATTTTCTACAGTAGCTAAATTTCCTACTAGTTTTATTTGTGAATAAGCAATACATTTCAATGTGTTCAGAAGAGGATTGTCTAATAGCAATCAACTTTCTTTTTGGCCATTACTTTAAGAAGAAGAAAAAAATGATAAAGGATGATAAAGGATGAATACGACTCAGAGAAATCTAATCAAGTATTTTGAATTATTATGTTTGATAGAATTATATTAGGTGAATAGTCCAAGATTAGATCCAATTCAAATAGATAAGATAACTAATAATTTGAATACTAAACAATATTAAAAGAATTGTAACATTATATAATCCTTAATTTTATTCTACAGTCTCACTCTCTGTAAATATATCATTATTTTGTTGAAAAAGTTAATTATGTTAAGCGTGTGTTTAAGAACCTAAAATAAAACACTAAGCCTATAGAGATAGATTGTGGAGACTGTTGAACAAGAATGGTTAAACTATTATTCTTGAATTAATCAATAAAAATAGTCAAATAAAAAAGAGACAATATCACATTGATAAGTACCAAATTATTATTTCTATATTGATAGTATTTTATTATTATAGATAATGGATGATTTCATTAAATAAAAGAAATAAAAATGTTAAATAATATGCTCAAAATTATATTCAAGAAAAAAATAAAAAGAAAAAAGTACTTGATTTCTCTTTAAGTATGATGCAACCAGAAATGTTTACTGCTCCCACTTATGAAGATTTAGTAGAAATATATAAAATATATGCAATCTAAAACAAAATTGCAATTAATGATTCACATAATTGAAATTATCGTTATACATTTTCTCTTTAGAAAAGTATAGAAAAATAATTAAGTATAAATTAATTAAATTATGGATGGCTATTATGCTTAAGAAGGTGAAAGAAATCATATTGACTATATTTGGAATAATGTATGTAATATTTCAATGTTTTTATTGTTACTTTCTCATGGCTCTATAGAGGTTTTAGACGAGTTCAATCTTTCTTTTTCCTCTTCTATTTGTACCCAATCTCTTAGCTGCTAATTTTCCTGCCTTCTTTAAATCTTTTGGTTGATTTGTTTTGAACAATTCAATAATTCTCTTTTCATATGGGCTCAAACCTGCTACTTCTTAGATGATCTTTCTCACTTGTAAAACTCTCTTACCCAAAGTTCCCTTTCTTTAAGAAGGTCTTCTTCTTAATTATTTCTTTGTTAATGATGATGTAATAAATCCTCTATTTAAACCAACTGCAATTCCTGTTCTTCCCATTATTTTAAAAATGATATTTTTATTTTTAAATAATAATCACACAATAACATCTTTATTTCGCTAACAAATACTTCGATTTCTGAATTCAATGTTTTTATCAACCACTCTAAGTTATCATACTGTAAGTAATTGTACATTCTCAATGTCTATACAATTTTAATCAGAATGCTCAAAATAATCCTAATTTTGCTTTTTAAGAGTCATAATGCGTTTTATCTCTAATAGTTCATGAGAGTTTCCTTATTGTTTTTTCAGCAGATTTTCATTTCATATTCATTAATAATGTAAACCTTTTAAACGAATCCAAATTATCATATTTTAATCTATTTTAATAAAGCCAACTGTAATGGTTTTAAGGATAGAAATATAATAACTAATTCTCCCTTAATATCAGTAGGTTCAAATAGATTTGAAGATTTTTAAGCTAAAATATAAATTAATATCTCGTTTGCTATCTGCTTGCAAATAGAAAAATTGATGCTGTTTAAATATGTTTTGAATACTAATAATTGAGAATATTTCAACAATTCTTAATTACTAAAGCCTTAAGCTAATATATCATTGATTAATATATATGAATATTAATTATTTATATATATAAGAAACGAGTTCTTATTATAATTTCTATCTTTAAGTTATCATGATAATTATAATTATATATATCTTTGCCATTAATAAATCATATTATTACATCAAAATTATTAATTAAATTATAATTGAATTGACAAGATTTGGGATTCTTACTTTGTTAAAAAGATTACGAATACAAACTAATTATAATTTCTAATTTATTCATTTACAAGGATATAAATCAAAATATTTTCAAACTTTATTATTACTTTTTATCAATTTAGAATTAGTATTTGATTACTTAAGATATGTACACAGAAGTCTCTAAGTTAAAGGTTGTTTAGATTATATATTTCACTTCTAGTTAACGAAAGTCTTGGAATCTTTGATTCATTATTACTTAAATTATTTTTGTTATTATAATCTAAATGAGTTAGAATTGGTATAATATGAATGACAGGAATCCGCTAATTAATTTTAGCAAAGTTCTTTTTGTAAGTTTCAGTTTTAATTCTAAATTAGCAACAATTTAAAATGTGTTTAAGTAATATTTCATTTTTAGTCGTATTTTCTATTTCCTAAAAAAATTTTAATCTAGCATTATTATTAATTTTGTTAATTATCATTTTTTATTAAACCTTATTAAATAGATTATGAGTTGATATGCTTATTTTAGTATTTTTTTCCTTCCCAATAGGATATGTTTTACGAATATTGTTCATCAAATTTTATGATTGTATTAACTAGATACCTGGCATTTGGTACTCACAAGTAGTCATCTAAATAATCTATTTGGAATGTTTATCACATAAAAATTATATTAACTAATATTATAATGAGCAGGAGATCCAAATAAACTCAAATCTCGATTAGATGGTCTTACATGTTATGGTTAGATTGATAACTAAGGTGAGGCTGGAAATCTTTTTGATTTAGAATTAATTTATATATATTCCCTTTTAGAAATTAATATTTTCTTGTTGATTCCTCCACCACAATCCAAACAATGACAAATTGAAATTAATTCTTTATTATCAATTTGATTGATTTATTGAAACTGCATTGAATAATTATAATTAAGACTTTTGCATCCTTATAGTTTCTAATAAAGTACTTTTTGCTAAGCATTTCTCAGAATTGAAAGATTTTATAGTTGAGTCTATTGTCCTAAATAGAAGTCTTTTTTCGAAACTATTAATGAAATGTTTTCATTAGATTTGATTCTGGTTAAATTTCAAATAATTTCATAAATTTAAACTTAACTAATATTATTACTAGTAATATTGACGAAAATGAATTAGATATCAATTAAGATGTCTTTTCAATAAAATATATTATCATTTTAATTAATATTTTTGTATTATAATGAATGTATTGTTTTATCACCATTCTGGTTTTGGTCTTTGTTTCTTAGCTATTTCTCCTCTTGCCAAATCTGGGAAGTTTTCTTCACATGATAAGGGTACATCCTTGAAATAGTAATTGCCATAAGTATTGTTTTATCTCTCTCTCTCATATGACCATTATCTTTCTCCAAGTAAACAGTGTCTATAAAATTTAACTGCAGTCATTTTTGTAACTTACCACCAGAGATAAGATGCTCCAAATAAATACAATCCATATCCTGCCAAACCCACATATCCAAAACTAATATTAATGATCACATTCACATACTTGTAAAAGAATGAAGTTTATTTGATACTTGTTATACCTCTTTATCCAATAGGCAAAAACATTTATCTCTAAGTTAAGGCCGCTTATTAATATTCACATTCAATATATACCTTATAAAAAGAATCCAGTAGTGCATATCCAAACAGGGAAGATTCGCACAAAATTGAAGCATTTCAGATCTCTCTCAACAAAATCTTGAATGTTTCTTGCCACATGAATTCTGAATACAATATATACCATAGATTACCTCTGTAATTTATTAACAAAATATGTTCTTGGATCTATTTGTTTACCCTCTTGTGCATTTTCTTGCATAATTTCAATATATCTTTTATAAGCTGGGTTATCTCCATGTTAATAAAATAACAATGGGTCATACAATTTTTGAATTTCCTCTTTCAGATTTTTGGCATCTGCTTTAGACATCTTAATTATTTATATATAAATATAATTATGATTTGATAAATAATCATTTCTAATTATCATCATTTATTACTTTGAATCCATCTTAAAATATCATTATTAAATTCACTACTATAATTAACATAACGAATATAACATTCTGATAACTCTAAATTTAAATTAGAACATCTTAAATAAACCATATTTAAAGTTTCTTTCTTTCCACTTACTGCACTCTATGCTATTAATTATTTCAAGTGGATATCTAAAAAGTTATTTGTTTCTCCTAAGTTATTTTCTAAACTTTATTCTATCACTTTTGTCAAAATAATTTATTACTTAATTTAACTATAATTTCTCTACACTTATTATTTATAAACCTTATTCTCAATTCTGATTAAGAATCCTCACCTTTTTAAGATTTATTAAAATTTTCAAAATACAAATCATTAGTTGTGTAGATCAATAAATTAACTTGAATTTGGTCTTAAAAGTATTATTTAAGTGGAATAATATTTCATAATAGATTAATATTTATAACCTTCAATTCAACATAATATATTATTATTCTATCTAAAGGTTGAATTTCTTAATGTACTTAGATTGTTCTTGAAAATTTATTCAAATATTGTCATATATCTTAAGAATTAACTTTTTGATTTCATAACCTTGGTAGGATATTTTACAATGCTACTAAAATAATATTTATCCCTTTTGAACTAAAATCATTATAAAATATAGTTATTTTTGATAAGTTTGATAATATTATTTGTAGTTATTGTGATCAAAACAATAATTTTTAAGAATAAACATATAAATGATAGCATAAATAGCATGTTATAAATGTACATAGCGATCTTTATTTCTTTTCAAAAAGTGAACTAAGTAATATTTCTAAAAATTAGTATAAAAATATCATTATGAATGAATAAAATAAATGTAATCTTGATTTATTAAAGAATATGGGAAAGTGTATAATAATGTAATAATAATCTATGAATAATATGTTAATAAAAATAGATATGTCAGAGAAATACACTAAATTTCAGCATCTATCTTTTCAGACAGGGATAACTATTAATCATCATGATAGCTTATTGATAGATATAAAATAAATATATCAAAAAAATGAAGTATTTTATAATTATGGTTTATTATTATTTTTTATTTAATTAATGTTTTCGAGTTAAAGCGAATTCGATCTAAGAGTGTTTTTATCCTCCTATTCAGATGCTCTGCATTGTCTAAAATAATCAGCTGATAAATCTACATTAAGAAAAAACTATGAAAATATTGCTAATCGCCTTACAATTTACGTGAAACAAAAGAAAGTATTTCGAATACATTAATATAGATGTTTGGTGAAGTAAATATATCTAAAAATGAAGAGAGGGATATTTTAGCATTTTAATATACACAGTAAAATATCAAAGATGTATAAAAATAGTTATATATTTTTAAAATATTTACCAGATTTCGACAATTTTAAGGGGAATTATGAATAATTGTAGACAATCCTAAATAATTCATTTAATTCTCTATCTTCAGATTTTTAGCTTTATTCACAATAATCATAATAATATAAAGCACGATGATTTGAATAAAAGTATTTATGTGATAAAAATCATATTATAATAAGATCATCATCTTCATCCCTAAATCCAGTGTTGTGGTTTGGATATTGAGAATTTTAAGGTGTTTTCTTTTTTAAACATTTCGTTTTTAATTAGTAAACCCAGTTACCAATTAATTTTTAAGGAGGTACAACAGCTAATTTGTTGGATTTAATAAATGATGACATTTTTTCGGCCACTTTAAACATAAATTAATTTGATTCTTTCATTGAAGAGACAAAATTTTAGCTTAAAGTTATTTCCTATTTTGATTTAATTTATGTTATAGTTCTTCAAAATAGAAAAAACTAAATTACTTTTGTGTAAATTGGTAAAGGGTCTTAAAACTATTATAAGTAGTTTTAGTTAAGGATAAATTCGATAATTATTATGATAATTATTTTTTGTTATCTTTATTAGAATTAACCTTTTTGAGTCTATCATAAAGTGTGACACTCTAATTCCGACGTGGATCCTCTTGATTAAAGGAATTTTGATATTCTTATAGATCTGGTTGTGATTATGTGTGAGTATTAGGCGTTTTATCAACAATGAACATTATTATTTATTAATATTTAATTATGTAACAATAATTAATAAAGCCTTAATCTAAGGAACATGCCATGTAAATTTTGTAATAAGGATTTTAACTGTATCAACAATAAGGACATATGAGTTTCAATGAAAATGCTCTTGTAATTTAATAACCAGAAAGAATGAGTTTCAACGATTAGAAAATGAAATCACACCCAAAAGTTCATAATGTTTTTGAAAATCAAAAGAGAACCAGAAATGATTAACATTAAATTGAGCAAAGTATTGTTGGAAATAGATTTGAAATTCCTGTTTTGCCATCAGGTAAATATCTCAAATTTAATGTTCTTTCAAATTGGGGAGACAAATAACAAGTTGGTCTTAATGGGATTGAAGTGTTTGATTCACAAGGTGGTAATATAACTAGATACATTAAAATGCCTATGTAAGATGAATATATAGAGAAATTGAAGTTGATAGACGGTTACTAAGCAGTTAAAGACGATAAACATATTTGGAAAACAAAGAACTTGAAACCAGAAATCATTATTGATTTAACTGCAAATATCAAAATCTCATTGATAAGAATTTGGAACTACAATAAATCTAGGATCAGATCCTATAAAGGTGTTAGATTACTAAAGATTACTTTAGATGAAAGACTAGTAAACTATTGATGTAATATTTTAGTTAGATATTTTATGGAGATATTTAGAAAGCAACAGGAGATCTAAAGAAGTTCTAAGATAATTGTGAATACATATTATTTACATAGGATTCTAGAATTATAAGTAGAATAGCTGAATTAGATTGGTTGAACAAAAGAGCTGAAGACTATTCTATTCAGATTCTATAACAAACTATGAGTACGAAATAAATTCGACCAAATACTGGTACAAAGTTATAGTCATAGAACACAAGATAATAACAATAATAAATTGATTAATCACCACCCTCAAAATTATATTCATCAAGAATTTATTAGCAAAACAATAAGGAATAAGAGTAAGCAGCACTATAATAAAGATCATAGCCATAATAATAAGATTAAGAGATCTATAAACTATCGAATAAATAAGAGAAAGTATAAATGCAATACCCTGAATACATATCTGTTTTTGATATATTATTGGAATTCAATAATGGTTCAAAACGATTTTTAGGATTAAATGGAATTATATTAATTGATTACAATAATAAATAGATTCATTAAGAAGAAATATAGGATACCAATCTAACTGAATATGAAATACAACGACTATTCTATTCTTATAATCCAATCTTGATTGATTCATCCAATATGATTTGGTTAAAATAAAAGAGAATTTATATTAAATTCAAACACCAAACAAAATTATCTATGATTAAATTTTATAATTGCAACTAAATTGTTAGTGAATCAACATTTACTGGACCAGAAATAGTCAAAATTACTTATAATGGAAGATTCAAAATATTTAGTATTTATATGGCTATATCTAATAGATTTGAGACCTGCACCATGTGAAGAAATTAATTTTGTTTAAACCATTTATCTAACTTAACCAAATAATTATTCTTACTCAGGAAATCTTGTGGCTAATTATGAACTATTTCATTCCAATTATGTCATTGCTTATCCTCCTTGTGGGATGATAGTGACTATTTATTTGATTAATACTTGGGGAGATAACAATTATGTTGGTCTAAATGGACTAGAAATTTATGATCATCAAGGTTCAGCCTTATTATAAAAAAAACTCATACCTTATACTATTCATTCTGTTCCATAAGTATTTCGATCATTAATTATTTAGTTAGAAGACGATCCAAGAGTTGTTTAAAATTTAGTAATTCCTCCATATGATATTAATTGTCAACCTTAGAAAAGCTTCTTGGCTCCTTTTATTAATACTCCTATGGAAAAATTAAAAAATAAGAATGCCATAATTATCCAAAAAGCAAGGGATTTAGAGAAATAAGATATCAATAAGATCTATGTATTGTTTGATAAACTTACTTGTTTCAGTGGAATAGATTTTTATAATTATACCAAAAATTGGTAAAGAGGAGTGAAGTAAGTCCATATATATGTTAATAATCGATTGATTTATTAAGTATTTTATTTCATTTATACTGAGGGAAACATTAATTAGACTTTTCAAGACATTAAAAAGAATGTATATAATAAAACAACTATATTATTTTCAGATTCCAATTAAATTAAATAATAATTAAATCCATACTTTTATCAATTTCCAGATGAGTAAGTATCTTTGATTGATGAAAACAAATAATTAACCTAAAGAGAATATTAGTAATATTACCCCCAATAATTGATTAGACCAAAAACAAGTATTAAATCATGAAATTGTTTACATTTAATATATCCTATATATTTTATTGAAAAATTAAGTTTATTACAATTCATGATTTATAATCTTAATTTATCTAATAAAATAAATTAATTTTTAAAATTAACATATCTAAGTGCTATTAAACGAAAGCTATTCTTATTAATTTTGCTATAAAATACAATATAATTAGTGATTTTTCTTAAATTTATGAAATATAAGCTAAAAGATAATCATTATTATGAATTTTTAATGGAATTATTATCTTTTTGAAATTTTAATACTAAGAGAAAAGAAATTAAGTAATAATAATATTTAACTTCGATATTACATAGATTTTAGAGATAGTAATTATACTACTATAAAAATTAGACAAAATAAGCGTATAATTTAATATTGAATAATACAATGTAATAAGATGAATATTAAGATAGTAACTCTCTTAATTTAAAGTATAAGAGAATTGATAAGTTATTTAGCAAAAAAATATAAAAATATCCTGTTAATTACAATAATATAATTATTTATTTATGCAATAATATTTAAAGAGAGTAAAGAAGAGAATTCAAGAATAGTGGATTAAATATATTTTCATTTTGATAATACTTGTAATAGCTATGTTTAGAAATTATACAAATCGAAAAATTTCAGACGAAGAACCTGTAAAATTAACAGAAGAATAGATTGCAAAAACTGAATAATATAAGTAGGAAACAATAATGCAATATGGTATAATGTGTGCTGTATTTATTGGCATCCTTGTTTTCATATAGACATTGAATAATAAACATGAAAAGCCTAAGGAAAAAGAAAAAGGGCAATGAAAGTTAAATGTATATAAAGAGATAATTATTGTTATTAAGCATATGTGTTAATTTTTTTGTTCAATAACAATTCTTCCTAAATTTAAAAATATTCTAGAACTATGGTTAGTCGTTAATTATTCTATAGAAAATCTAGTAATTGGGATTGGATATCTACAATATTGATTTTCTTTTTTGTTGCTCTAGAATTTTTTTGATTTGTTTGATTTTAATGGAGATTTTTTAATTATCAAAGTTCACATTAAATTTATTGGATTTTGATTAATTGATTGTTAAATTAAATGCATTTGATAATGATTTCATAAAATAAATAATAATTATTTATAATTCAATGATTGCCTTATTTAAATGATTGAATTCCGTTCCAAAATGATCCTAAACTTCCTATAAATCCATCATGTTTAATAAAATAAGGCTATATTAGAATGATGTTGTTACGTGTCTATTTTACTAATCTAATTTTGAAAAGTAGGAGAAAGCTTCATTAATACATTGTAAGGTTTCATCATGATTTCTTATGAAATGGCCAGAAAAGAATACTCTTTCAATATTATGTAATTTTGAATGCAAGAAGGCTATTTGGCTAATATTGTAAGTAGTCATATAGAGTAAAGATTTAACTAGGTCTGATTTATTAATATTTGTATTTTAATCTAATTTTCCCATACTGACTGCTACATGCTTTTCATTTTTGTTTCTTGTTGGAGATTAAAATCCTAAATGAACTTCATCCATTAATAAATCTGTATGTGCATTCGAACCTTATTTAGTCATTTTTAATAATTCATCGAAATCATTAATGCCTGTAAACAGATGACTCAATCCTAAAAACATTCCACCTCCTAAAGATGTGCCTGAGATTCTGGCAAATTGATCTTCATTGTCAAATTTTAATATACTAACTCCACTTCCTATATTAACCAAAATGAATGGATAAATTGAAGCCTAAAATTTATTGATATTAAATATACCGTCAACTACAAATATTCAATACCATTATTAAAAGTAAAGTATGTATTTTTGTATTTAATGCTATCTAACAATTTAAAACCGAATTTTAGAGCATCAAATTCATTAATTCTGATGATTTTTCCATAATTGGAAATTTAATCATAATACTTAAATGACCCTCCTCCTGTGATATAAAAATTTTAGATATACGACTTTCCATCCACAATGAAGCCAATTCCTTCTAAGTTTTCAATCAATTTATCTAACGAATTGGGATGGGAGATAAAATGGATTTCATAATCCTCAATCTCATTTACGACTATTAAGAATATAATTATTTCTAATACTTTTGAGTTCTTTTTTAGTTTGACATTTTAAACAAAACCCTTTCTTAGTTGCAAATGTCAATTTCGTTAATGTTCCTCCAATGTCTAAGCAAACAATAGGTATTAAATTTTAAGAAAATGATGGATTATTTTACATCTTATTAATAATATTCAAAATAATTAAGTGCAATGAAAAAAATGAATAATTATTAAAAACTCCATTGTATTCATACTATGTAANGTTCACATTAAATTTATTGGATTTTGATTAATTGATTGTTAAATTAAATGCATTTGATAATGATTTCATAAAATAAATAATAATTATTTATAATTCAATGATTGCCTTATTTAAATGATTGAATTCCGTTCCAAAATGATCCTAAACTTCCTATAAATCCATCATGTTTAATAAAATAAGGCTATATTAGAATGATGTTGTTACGTGTCTATTTTACTAATCTAATTTTGAAAAGTAGGAGAAAGCTTCATTAATACATTGTAAGGTTTCATCATGATTTCTTATGAAATGGCCAGAAAAGAATACTCTTTCAATATTATGTAATTTTGAATGCAAGAAGGCTATTTGGCTAATATTGTAAGTAGTCATATAGAGTAAAGATTTAACTAGGTCTGATTTATTAATATTTGTATTTTAATCTAATTTTCCCATACTGACTGCTACATGCTTTTCATTTTTGTTTCTTGTTGGAGATTAAAATCCTAAATGAACTTCATCCATTAATAAATCTGTATGTGCATTCGAACCTTATTTAGTCATTTTTAATAATTCATCGAAATCATTAATGCCTGTAAACAGATGACTCAATCCTAAAAACATTCCACCTCCTAAAGATGTGCCTGAGATTCTGGCAAATTGATCTTCATTGTCAAATTTTAATATACTAACTCCACTTCCTATATTAACCAAAATGAATGGATAAATTGAAGCCTAAAATTTATTGATATTAAATATACCGTCAACTACAAATATTCAATACCATTATTAAAAGTAAAGTATGTATTTTTGTATTTAATGCTATCTAACAATTTAAAACCGAATTTTAGAGCATCAAATTCATTAATTCTGATGATTTTTCCATAATTGGAAATTTAATCATAATACTTAAATGACCCTCCTCCTGTGATATAAAAATTTTAGATATACGACTTTCCATCCACAATGAAGCCAATTCCTTCTAAGTTTTCAATCAATTTATCTAACGAATTGGGATGGGAGATAAAATGGATTTCATAATCCTCAATCTCATTTACGACTATTAAGAATATAATTATTTCTAATACTTTTGAGTTCTTTTTTAGTTTGACATTTTAAACAAAACCCTTTCTTAGTTGCAAATGTCAATTTCGTTAATGTTCCTCCAATGTCTAAGCAAACAATAGGTATTAAATTTTAAGAAAATGATGGATTATTTTACATCTTATTAATAATATTCAAAATAATTAAGTGCAATGAAAAAAATGAATAATTATTAAAAACTCCATTGTATTCATACTATGTAATGCTAGAAAAGTTATAATTTTAATAATTAATTAAATTGTAAGATAAAATTTGATTTCTGAAAATAATTTAGATTGTTTAAAACAATTACTTTGTATTTGAGTCAGAAATTGGAGATGAAAGTTATTAAGAAAATTCAATTATTAATGAATTCACTCATGATTCGCTTGATTTAATAAGAAATAGATGGTTTTGGATGATTAAAATGCTTTTAATAGTGGTTGCTTAAAATAAAATTTGAGTATATTATAATAATATTAATGCTTTCAACATAAGTATTTAATTCTTTTGCTTAAAGATAAAGCAATGGAATAATCAAACTATTGGCATATGGTGTGTTCTTTGGAGGTGCTTATGGTTGTGCTTGGCATTAATGGAAAGGAGGATAACAAAAATAATTATATGAGAAAGTTGAAAATGAAATTACAGAATGGAAACCTGTTAGTATAAATGGACTGAATGCAAGCAGATATCCATGGGCTTAAAATATAAGAAATTGGGAGTATAAATTAGTGAAATTGTATGGATATTTTAGAGTAAGGGATGTTTGCTATGAAAGGATGAAAGATTTTTTGTGAGGAGAGAAAGAGAAGGCAGAGATGGATTCCTTGTATTTGCACCTTTTGTAACAGCATTGCAATTTAATGATACTGAATAAGATCCAGAATAAACTACCAAATCATAAGTGATGGTAAATTTAGGATGGGTGCCCAAGGATAATATAAGCGATATCTAAATGGGTTAAGAACCTATTGGAACAACAGTACAATGATTTGTATTCCATAAGACCTATGATAACGTGCCTCATAATGAGGATGATGATTAATTGACAGGTTTCAATAGAAATATTGCCAATATGGAGGAAGATTATCAAATGCCATTTGTAGAATTCGTAGGTATGGTGAGAAGAGGAGAAGAGGAAGACATATTAAAAGGAAGAAGAAATTGGCCAAGAGAAGGAGTCTATAATTATATCGATTTATGGTTCATGTCTAGATTATACAGATCATTCAATTTAGTAAAGATTTATATTAAATTAGACCGATTCTTCAGCTGCATACATTGAAAGATTAGTATAGGAATACGACGAAGAATCTGCTAATTTATATCCTATTCCTGCAACTAAAGATAACTTTGATAAGCCTCTACCTACTCCATAGACTCATTAAGCATATTCATTGTTTTTTGGATTGTCATCAATAATGTCATTAGCTCTATTGGCTATAAGAAGATGATTAGATCTATCATAAATGCAATAATAATAAAAATATTAATTATTTATCACTCTATTATGTTGTACATATATCCTTATATTAATATTTATTCTAATCGTTTTACTTTATTTCTAGAACTGAATTTGATTAATATAAAACTCAAAAATTAGGTAATAATCATATTTAATAAGTCATTTATAATAATAATATATATATAAAGAATTATCTATCATACTTTTTTATATTTAGATTCTTTTTCAAAAGAATTTAGAATCTTTTTTTTGATGCTAGTTAAAAAATACTATGTTTTAGCATAGATCCCTTAATTCTTTTTGACTGACTAGAAATATATGAGATAGATATCATACGTCTTATTAATGCTATTTCAACTTAACAATATTTTCGTCTTATATTTATTGCAACTTCATCATTTGCTTTTACATCTATTCATATTTTTCATTTGATATATGCCAATGAGCAGAACTCCCTCTTCTGTTAAATCTATTCTGAGAAAACTACTTGGCAATATCTAAGACTCTCTATTTCATTCTCCCAAATATTTAATTCTATGATAAGTTCTATTACTAAAATTAATGCTGCGATACTTTCTAATTACATTAAATTACTTGATTACTTCTAAGTTTTCTGCCCAATGAGGTACCTTCTTATTGTTACAATAGAGTCTCTTTTTTTTGGGCGTATGCTAATTTTTGTTTTCAATATTTTATATGTTTGTGTGGATGTTTTAACTGTTGGCACAGAAATCTTCAGGAAATGGAAAATCAAATACTGATGATTAGAATTGAAACCCACAATCTTAGATTATATTATCATCCCTAAAACTACTACTTCTCCATTTATATGAATGATGGTCTAAATTTGAAGATTCATTTGTGTTATATGAAGTAGCTCGATATTCAACTGAAGAACTCTCATACCACTCTGATTTATTCGGAGAATCCATGAGTTATTGTTCCTCATCCTATTCATTGATCACTATTTGCTGTTTATCTGAAAATACTAATACATCTTTATGACTTGAGGATTATTTTTATTCATCATAAATTTCTATAGATTTCAATTTAGGAATTAATTCTTCTGGATCTACTGATTCTATTAATTTCATTAACTCTCTCTACTCCTCTGCTTCTTTCTATTTGTCAACTTTTATCTAAGAGAGTTGTTACTACAACAAGGATGGTTTTCTTATCTACTTCGGAGTACCATCTTCTGCTGTATTTACATAGCATTTCGGATATTCTTCAGATAAAACATTATGAGGTTTTAATATGCTCCATTCTTTCAATTCATTTACTGATTTCAAGATCAAATTCTTAGGAGAATTTTCTTTTGACTTTTAATTTTGCATCACTTCAACATTAAAACAATTAGCCTAAATATTCTTTTTGAACTATTCAGCAACACACTCTTTTGTTTTTGAATCCTTCTAAAATTCATCTTCCTGTTCCTCTGTCACTGCTTCCAAATGTGACTGTTTCTAAGAGCACATCATTAAACAATTTAATATCTTCATTGTTTAACCTACAGTCTCTAATACACTGTTTGTTACTAAAGTCATTCTCTACTGAGTTTGTATAGTAATAGAGGATGCTGCTGCTGCAACATGAATTGATAGTGCTAATATTTCTTTTGAAATCTCTTAATTCATTTAAATTTAAAATAATAAAATAACAAGCGCAAAAATTAACCTGTATTATTAATGAACAAAGTGAATACTAAAAGTAGACAATAAGTAGAAGAAGAATTTGATCCTTTTTAAAGTGATAATAGCTATCAAAGTGATGGGGATAACCAACCTGTCATTATGAACTTTTTAGAAGACATTAAAGGGCATCTAGAAGGTGACATTAGTTTTGAGACTAATGAACATGATATTTATGATCCTGCATTCTCATAAACCATTAGTCATAGAATCAAAGACCATTAAGACACAGCATTTTAGAAGTAAAAATTTAAATCTAATGTTCAATCTATTAAATCATGCAATTCAATTAATATCATTTGTTCATTAGAGATATTTCAATAACAATTGGAATTTAAGCATACTTAGAGTCTTCCAGATCAATAAAATTTGTAAAAACTTACTGATTCTAAATAATAACAGCTAAATTTTTTATGGGGAAAAATTAAATAAAAGAATAAGGAGAAAGAAAAATGACACTTAAAATATTCTGTACATCATTTTATGGATAAATAAAAGTTGTTATCAAGGATAATAAAATTAACATATATTATATTAATATAGATTGTAAATTCATTATCCATTTTTCATATTTGGATTAAAAATTTATTATTATTATTATTATTATTATTACCAATAAAATATCTACATTTATTATTCTTAAGTCATCGTTCCATAATTAAGATAAGTCTAATCTTAATAATATAATTATGGCATTTATTAAAATAATAACTATTGCTATTATTAATAATACATCATCTATTACATCATTGCCACTTAAAATTATTGTTACATTTATTGTTATTATACCTATTTTAATCCATTCTCAAATATTAATTACTTTTAAGTATTATTATTACTGATATTTTATTTAGAACTCTAAGATTATGGATTCTGTTTTTTTTATTTATTTTTATTCTGTTAATTCTTATCATTTTATATTATCTTTTACGTATATTTTTTAACATTCTAATTTGCCAAAGCAAACTTTAATACAATCTAACCATGATTATTTAATTAATTATTATCACTCAACCGATTTAAAAGAGCCAAATATTCCTATCTTAAAGGTTAATCTAAATATTCAAATAATCTCTGTATAGGATAGTTAGCAAACTAATCATTAACTAATCTTTTAAATGAACTATAATGATAAATATCTGCTACCTTTCTGAAATTGATACTTATTCCCATAATCTTGTCCTCCACTAAGAGCCTCCATAGACTATGACCTTCTCTGCTACATTACTGCCATATTTATCCATTGACATAGGCATAAAATCCTAAATGAGGTATTAATCCATCAACAATCTCTTATGTATCTCTTAACCCTTCTCCAAAATTGATTAAATTATATAATTAGCATATTATCTACGTGTAAGTCCAGAACTATTATGTATTGCTCTAGTTATGATATCATTGCATAAAGACTTAGTTTAAATGTCGAATTGTTTAGGATAAATATCAATAATCTTATTAACAATTAAGCATCCATATTAGTCAATCGATAATTCAAATTTTTCATGATTGTTATTTAGAATCTAACATTCAATTTAATATTATACATATTTTGACAACACCAAAAGAAGTTTTAACAAATGATTCCCTTCTAATACCTCTAAACTCTTTTAGATAATTTGATTCGCAATCTTGTCTACATATACTCTCCTCATCTAAGAATTATCCGAATGAATGAAATTGAGATAATTGTCTAATTGCTAAGGATAATCTGATTGATTTTGAATCATCACTTCCAATCCCTTTTGAATAACTTTACAAGCATAGAGGTCTTTTATTAATTTATTTATTGATTAAAATAATCTATCAAGTATGATGATTTTGTGTGAAGGAAGACCTAAAGATATATTGATAATTAGTACCAACTTCAAGTATTTTTTCAAGTAGGAAATGTTTGTACTTATCCAAACTTATATTTTCTATTTCATCTTTTACGAATGTGTTGAAGACATATTCTTTTTCTTTTAAGCTAGCATTTTAATATTCCAATTGCATTTTTCGAGAGTTTTTTGTCAACTTCTCATGACTTAAGTATGATGACCTAATAGATTTACCATTCAATAGTACATGTCAGCTTAAAATGCTGATACAAGAGAAGGTCTTTATGAGTCATTAATCAATACTTAGTTTAATTATTAGTTAATTTCATCGAATAAATCATCTATTAAGTTATATAAAATGATAACAACCTTCTTTATCAAATAGTTAATCTTCAAAAAATGCTGCACTAAATGCTTTTGTTGCATTCATATTCTCAAATAGTGTAGGAGTTGCAGTTGAACCACTTTGGGATGGATGGCATTTCAATTCTTCCTCTTCCTTATTGAATTCCTGAGGAACATATGGTTGAGCCATGGATTGAGTTTTATAAAATAATTTATATTTTGTATAAATTCCAGCTTAAAATTCAATTTGAAAGAATAAAGAAAATCTTAAAATTTTTATTCATAAAATTATTTTATTTATTTCCATAATAAGCCAGATAACTATTTATGTCAAAGTAGAATCTCAAATTAATTACATATGTATATATATTAAAATACAATTAATACCAGGCTCAAGACTTATACATTAATTCTAACGACATAATTTACGAATTTTTCAATTCTATATAATAGAATAAATAATGTAGAAACATTCCAGAATTTCTAATTAAAGAGTGGAGGTGATGAAAATATCTAAAATTTTTATCCCCCTAAGACTTTTTATATGTTATTTATTATTATATTTAAATATTATTCAATGCGTAATCTAACCCCAGATAAAGCTTTCAGAATTAAAAAGCAAAGTATTTTCGAGCTGAATTTTAGTGAAGAACCTAAATCAACCAAAATTCATAGTCGATAAATTAGTCAAAAACCTGTAGAAACTTAATTTTAGGCATACACAAAAAATAAAGTGATTAAGCTGAAGGACACCCCACATACTCATAGCAAAATCTAATCTCTTAAATCAAAGCTTGTTAGAATATTTAAGGATAATAAAGAATAATCATCTCTTGAAATTTTAACAGAATAAAAAGGAAAATCATTTTTAGAAGAATTAAAGGAACCTCCTATGCTTAATATGTAAGGCTTATAACGTATGGTTAATTCTAATGAAAACAATCCATTTTTCCTTAATCATCCTCGGAACCCCAAATAATTTAGAAAATGTTATTTTCGATATCCTACTGATGCTATAGAAAAATTAGATAGATGTACTATTGTCACTCCTCAACCACTCCTACGTAGGTATACAGCATTGCTAAAGCCAAGAGTGAGAATTTCAGAATAATGGAATGAATTAAATGGTTGGCAAACAAAGGACGAGTCCATTACAAATTTATTTTGACTTAAGCTTTGTATAATATATAAATTACTTTACTAAAAATACAAAATAAAAACTTATTATAATCTAATTTGCTATAAGTTTACAAAAGTAAGAATCAATTAAGACTATTATATTTATCAATAATTAATAAGTCAAAGATAGTTCTTTTGAGCCTATTTACCATTAGTTTAATTATAAATTAAAAGTTGATATTGTTGTTTTTCTCTTAGACAATTATATTGAATTCGATCGTTACATATAATTCCAAATCACTTACAATAGTTTTGGAAATGTCAGCTCGTAGTATTATCATCAGGTATTTCATATATGTTAATCTTTCTGGTTCAATTTCTTATTACTAATTACTAAATTTCATTTCTTTTTGATAAAATAGTTACATCAAGTCAAAAAAGTTCTTGTTTAAAATTTTTAACATAATGATATAACTAATCCTTATTGATGGAACTTGTAAAAAAGAATTGCAATTAGTAGGTGTGTATGATAATTTGAATGTCTATTAGCACTCGCCTTATATGTTATCATGCATTTATAAATATCATCATTTGAATATGAGAAATATTTGTGGAGTGATCTTAAATTTAGATGGAAATCATTTACAAGAAAAAATCATGTTTTTCTTGAATTTAGGAGAAGTAAATCGAATTTTAGTTATTAAGCTCACTATGGCATTGTATCTTTGAAAATTTGTAATTATTTTGATAAAATCAATAGAATGATATTAAGAAACAAACTCAATTTCAATTATATAAAATAGATAAGCGATCACTAAATTCCTAAAATTAAAGAGATAATTATTGTGGATGGACTGTTTATACTCAAAATTTGAAATTAACACTTAATTCAATTATTAACTGCTAAGTTATGAGTCCTTATTTAACTATTCTATCTGAATAGTTAGTAAAAAATGAAAATATTTGATAATTATATGTGTTTTTTAGAGTTATTTTTAAATTACAATACTATAATACCATTCTTTAGTATCAATTATTTATTTATTTCAATCAATTTGATTCTAATCTGTTACTCTTTATTTGTTATCCTCTACATGTTTAATAATTTATTCTAGTCTCCAACTATTCTTAGAACTTCTTATTAATTCTTATTTCTAAATTAATTACTAAATTCTTATCATAATAATATATGATATTATAAACTAATAAAAGAAATTTTTATTAATAATTCTTGTTAATCCGCATTTTTTGCAAAGCTCGGTAAAATAGAGATAATAATCTAAAAATCAGAGAAAAATTAATTACCCTAAATAATTGCTATCCAATTTAAGAGGAGATTGTTTCTTTAGCAGTTTCGTCACAAATATTTGGTACTAATGTTTATGCGTATTAATAAATATTTTGGCTTAAATTCCTTTAGTACTCCAAATACACTTTGAAATTATTTTATTATCTAAAATGATTGGATTGTAATTATGAAAACAAAAATATATATTTTTTTTACAACATAATAATTTATACTTGTAATGTTGTATTTTACTTAGTTTGAGCCATAAATATCATTTAATTTCTAATTATCATGAATGATGATTTTGACAGAAAAGATATATTATCTAACAGGATAATTAAATATATTATTAAATTATGTATAAAGATTTAAAAGCAATAAATCATTTTTGATTATATGATTTCATACAGTTAAGGTCAATAATAGGCTCCAAAAGCTTCATAAGTGAGTAAACTAAGTTTATTAGATTTGATTTTGTGTTGTTTCAATTTTCGTCTTTACACTATAGGATTTTTAGTGATGGAGTACATTGGTCTTTCTTTTGATTTTTAATCATTGCTCTCATCTGAATTTGATGAATCATTCATGATTGAACTTCTGGTGTTTGCATTTTACCAATTACTATTTTCATGAAATCGTTCCGAGCTAGCATTTCCCATCTTTACTTGTTTAATATTAAATATAATTAAAAAATTAAATTATTTGAATTGTAAAAAATGTCAAACAATGACGCATCACATCATTATTAAATATGTGCTTAGTTTTATCCTTACTATAATAATTCAAGATTAAAGTCCTCGTTTTCTTCGGAATTAATAATATTATCAGTTCTCTTTTAAATACTTTCATCTTCTGGATCATCAACTTCTATAATACATTAATCAATAGATATATTTACATTAATATTTGTATCTTGGAATACTTGCAGTAGGTTTCATATAATTAGGTTCTTTATAATCTTCATAATCAACAACTTCTGGTTTATTGATAACACTTTTTAATTATTGATATGCCTTAGTTAAATCCAACACTGGTCTTCCAGAGGAATTTTAATTTTAATCATATTCTTTGCTATCACCTAATATTTCTTAAGCTAATTTTTTAAATTCTTCATAAGATTATGGTTTTTAATTATTGTTTAACAATTAATATTGTTACTATATTTTTTATTATTGTTATTTAATTTGTTAATTTTCAGTTACGAACATATTGTCCTCTTAATTCTCATCAATTTGAGATTGTTCCTCCTCATTTTATAATAAGAACCCATCCTTAGATTATTCAATGACAGGTAATTTAAGAATATCATTTTCAACTCTCTTTAACTATTCAAATTTACAAGGAGGTTTCTTAACCTTAGGTTTCTTAAGATACGACTTTTCAATTTCTTCATTAATCAAAATACCACCTGTTCTAGCATGAATTTCCATTTCTAAACCTTAATGATCTCTGGTAATTCCAAATGGATTTCCTGTAATGATAATTTTCTTGAGATTAGTGAAATTACGAGCACATATTAGATTATGCTAATTTTCAGCAATATTATAAGAGAAATCTAAAGTTTCTAATTTATTGAAATATCCAACAACCAATCTTTCAGTATGAATCCCTCTTAAGAAATTCTTACTAATATTTAGTGTTTTAAGTTCAGGTATCTATCCTAAGACTTCCCATAAGACTGCGGCTGTTTGATTAGATTAAAATGCATTATCACTTATGTCTAACAATTCTAATTTTGTAAATTCTGCCATATCAGTTGGCAATTCAAGTAATTCATTTCTAACTAAATACAGTTCCTTCAATTCTGTGATATGTTTTAAGGAACTTATGGCTTCTTTGTTTAAATAGTTAAATGATAAATCAAGATGTTATAATGATTCAAATGTATTCTTATGAGTGATTTCAATGTTTCTGATGTTGTTTGCACAAATCTTCAAAATTTTTAATGCTGGAAATGAAGTTAAATCTTCTAATAATAATTAATTCTCAGAGACATCCAAATCTTGCAAATTCAGAAAATATTGAAAATCCTCGGGTTTACTACTTTATATACGTAGTCCTAAATGAGTTATACAAATACTAAACTTGATAAATTTGCTCTGATTATTTCATGTGGATTATCATTATTGGTTACATTAATCATCAAGAAACCGTCTAAACATTTCACTCTCATAACTGTGTCATCAGGAATATAGTAGATTTTCGTTTTAAAAGGATTTTTGGTATGTGCCTTTCTTTTCTTCTTTCCGAGCAAAGGCAATTGGAAATGGTTCATTTTACTATAAGCTATTGGAAATGGTATTTAAGAGTTGGCTTTATTTTTCATAATAATTGATTATTATTATATTGCTAATTTGAAATCATGTAAAGATCAATTGGTTATATAAAGAATAGAACCAAAGAATTGTAATTGAAGAAATAAAAATACAAATCTCCAGATCTATATAGTAGTCGAAGAATATACAAACTGCCTCCTAAATGGGTGGACAAAATGGAAGAAACTAGAGACACTATTCAAAAAGTTGGGATTCTAAATTAAGAGATTGAGAAGTTAAAGACATCAAAGGATGTTGGACCTAAAGCTTAATTCAATGAATAAGTAGTACAAGGAAAACTTGATTAAGCATTACAGGTTTAATTCTGAGTATAGTAGATGATTAGAGATATCGAAGAAAATCTACAAATTATGGAAACTGATGATTGCGAAAATGATCTTGAATATAAAATCAAATAAAATGCTAAAATGTGCTTGGGTATATCCTTAAAAGAAGTCACTCCATAATTAAGAAATTATTAAAATTAAATGTTGAGGTAAATATAACTAGAAAGACCATCACAAAACTTAAAAGTCGATTTTTAATAGGAATATATTGAAACTTTAATTTTAGATAGAAATGATAGAATCAAATAATTAGGAGAAAAATTGAAAAAAATGAATGAGTTATTTAAGGAAATGAATAGACTAGTAATAGAACAAGGAACTTTATTAGATCGAATTGATTTCAATATAGATTAAACATTTACAAGAATTAAAAAAGGAAAAGATTAGTTAGTTTAAGCAAATACAAAATAGTAAACTAGCGACAGGGCCTAAAAATGTATTTGCATTTTAGTTGGATTAAATATTTTTATAGCTTTTCTATTTGTAATTAAACATACATTATTATGAATATTTATATCCAAATTATATATATTATTATTATTTCACGAAACAAAAAGAATCTTTGGCAAACTAAAAACATGATAATTAAAAACACTTTAATACAAGCTATTTCTTTTCAATAGTAATAACGTTCGAAATTGATTCTTAAAATTTCCTTTTCTACTTCTTCAATTATAAAATGAAAGAATAATTATGTAACTCTATAACAACGATATTAATATTATTCTAAATTCCCTTTCTAAAAAATTAAACTAGTTTTATAATTTGATTAATATGATATTATGAATTATGTTATATAGAATTTGAATGTAAATTATACATAAAACTTAAAGTATTTATATAAAAATGCAATTAAACATGTATGTTCATAATAAGCACATATCAGAAGGGAGATTTGAATTTACAGGTTTCGACACTTTTAATCCTAAGAATAAGATAAAAAAATACTTAGATTCTAAATTCTCAGATTTATAGAAAAATGGATGGTCTAAACATTATATAACATCATATCTATTTTCTTAAAAATCGAGCATTTTGAATAATAGAGATTATGCCTTGCTTTCTTTAACATTTCTATAATCAATAGCGAATAAATTATTTTTCGATAATCTAATAATTTATTATCTGTTTAAATTTCTATCGAACATAGGATTTCCTGTTAATAGCATATGAAACACTTGAGCTAAGCTGTATATGTCACATTTCTGATTGTAAAACTATCCATTAATTATTTCAGGAGCAAAGTATCCAATAGTTCCACATTTTTCACATAAATAATTTAAATTATCTTTGAATGCTGAAAATCCAAAATCAATAATCCTAACACTCTTGTGATCATTTATTTCTTCCAACATAATGTTATCCATCTTGATATCTCTGTGTATAATACCCAAACCGTGAATATGATTTAATCCAGATAAAATTTTTTTCATTATAGTCTTCACCTTAATCTTACTTAAGTCCTTAGAATTAGAATTTACAAGTTAATTTAAAGTGCCTCCAGAAAAGTAAGGGTAAATGAAGATAATAAGATCATTTTCCAAATAGTATTCAACCATACTCGCTACATTTTCATGAGGATTTTATGCAATGTGCAAATTAATTTATAGTTCTCTCTCTATTAAAAAATGATTATTTTTTTGTATTTTGGCAACAAATATTTCATTATTATCTCTTTTTCGACATTTGATAATCTTATTAAATAGAAGAATTATATACCTCCCCATTTTGTATTTTTTTGATAGTTTCAAGTTTTTGGTAGTTATAATTAAAATTATCCTATCCGACTTTTGTCATAAGGGCTTGATGTCCTAATCTCCCACTGTGCAAGTCAAAAAAAAATTTATCCTGAAATTTCTGTTTATAATCAAAGGTTACTTCATAGAGATCCTCACTATAATAATTATATTGAAATATACTGCTTAATCCAAGTCATTAATTTTATGTCATCAATGTCGATTGTCAGGATTTTATTATATTTTTTCTATTTAATATAAATATATAAAATACTTCCAAGATTTCAATGTTATTTTTCTTAACTTTCAGTTATGAGGTTTCAGAAACTGAAATAGGTCGAGTTGATGGCTTTGAATCTGTTTGAGATTACTCTAAATTACTTGGTTCTGTGATTTTCATAATTTATTTGTAAATTTAATTAATAAGTAGTAAAAAAAAATCCCCACAATATAAATTTAGGGTGATTTGGTGATCTGAATTAAAAGTCTGTTCCCTAATATGTACATATTCAATAAGGAAATTATATTTGTATATTTCCTATTCCAACAATCCATTTGTAGAAGTCAGTATTTTAAAATATTCTATTTTGATAATTATCTTAACGTAAAATCCATTATTAAGTCATTTCTACTTCTCTTTAGGATGAAGCAACATTAATTAAGATTCAATTAATGTGCTAAACTAAGTTCAGTTTTTTTTAAAATAAAAATAATTCTGTTTTTTAAGAAAATTATTGCATACTTTTCCAAAATTAATGGTTTTTAAGAATTTAATAATTTAGGTATACATCAGAATCAAAATCACATTTTAAGGTAAAATATCTTTTAAAGTTTAGAAATCAGTTAAAAGTTTTAATCAATCTGTCATTAAATGTAAAAACCAATTTAATTTTCGTAAGAGGTATTTTATAAAAAAATTCAGAATAAATTTATATGAGTAACGCTATATAATTTATTTGATTGAAATTTTGATTTTATTATTAGACCTTACTACATCAAAATTTAAAGAAATGAATCAATAACTCATTAAATATAGATGAAGAACTATTTTTCAGACATAGGTGTCAATTAGATCATGTTATTATAAAATCATAAACTAAATTATCATTCAAATAAAATGAAAATGGAATTTAGAATTTACAGATATTTCAAAATATATTTTATTCACTTAAAAATTAATTCACAATCAGTGCAAAATTAAGGCACATTTGATAATATTGCGATTTTCCCACACTCTTGGTTGTATTTTAATTAAAAATCCTGGATTGCTTCTAAAAATATTTTAATGGCTTTAGTTCCATCATAAGTTTTTAATTCCTCTTCATTAGTCAAACATTATTGAAGAATACCATAGATCAATATTGTAATTGAAGAAAACCTTCTCTTTAGAAATGTCTCAACCAATCTAAATAAAGGAAATAATTTACATCTTTAAAAAGACTTAGTATAATAGACACGATTTATTTCCAGTTAAATTTTGAGGTGTAGAAATCAATAAAACTTGATAGATGTTGTTAAATTTTAATTTATAGCCTTGAATTAAGATGCTTTAACCGTATTGGATATCATCCTTCGTTTAGTAATACTTTATTTTATATTCTAATTCATTTTTAAAGGAGGGTCCTGCTAATTCAATAAGCATTTTAACAACCCCAGAATTATAAGATTTCAGATCAATTGGGCCAACTAAACAATCAGTTGGAGGAGCAGACTCTAATTTTGATTGAATAATTTCCCTTAACTTTTCACCTTTAAAGATAATCTAAAATATTTCAACTTTTTCAACAAGAACATCAACTATGTGTATAGACATAGGCGTTTAAAAATTAAAATTTAGAATTGCTTAATAAAAGACTTCAGCACACTTAAATAATGGAAACCCGAAAATACCTGAAGAAATCATTGGAATTGCAATTGATGATAATTTCATTTCCTAACATTTTTATAATCTATTGATCTAATATTAATGTATACACATTTATAATGCACTTATAAAGCTAGTCTACTGACTTCTAAGGTTCTTATTGATTATAAATAGGACTAGCAGCATGAAAAATATATTTTGGTCCTTAAAATGACATTAGATTATAACTATTAGTAACCACTACTTCTGAATTTTCAATTTAGTTTCTACCAAGTTGTTAAAAATATTAATTGATTTCCTATTCTAATTGATATTCACCAGCAGCACGAAAGATAGATCCACAAACTCCACCTCCTTTCATAAGGAGATTGTTTGCTGCATTTACAATAGCATCTATTCCTTTTATTTCAGTAATGTCTTATTTATAAATGGAAACTGATATTCCATGCAACTTAAATTTTAGAGGATCTAAGTTATAAGATGGATTATTCTATTACCTTTGCTTACAACAATCCAATTTTTATTATTAAAATATATTTCATTCCAATTTAAATTATCAGGATATTTGTTAATTGCTTCTTAAAAAGATTTGATTGGAGTATCCTTAGGTAAATCAGTTTAATCCTCTATTAAGTTATTATATATGTCATCTAAGCATAGACAACAAGTATAAAGCTTCAAACACTTTAAAGAATATAATAATCTTGGTTTATAAAAACAATTACATGTCTCGAAAACAATTAGCTAGTTATATCTGTCTTCCAACCGTCTTGTCTTGATTTGGACAAAAAACCAGTAAGACATAATTACAATCAAGAGCTGGCACATTTGTTCTTACTGATTGCAAGAAATGTTCTTTATCATTTTAAGCTAAATTGACAATATCTTCTAGTACAGTATTTAAAGACCCTAATTTAATAAAAGGAGGTAAGCTTTATTTAAAATTATATTTATTAACTGGAATGGCAACACAATCAATTTTAGGTAATTTTGGTTGTTGTTATACCAATTAACGGTCATTTTAGATCCCATTCTATTAAAATTATTGGGGTGAGTTTAAATTTAGTTCCTAAAATGAATCATCTTAATCTTTATTTATTCTTTGATGTAAATTGTCTAATTTTTCAATTTTTTATTGAAATTATTAATCCGTATATTAAATTTTATTGAAATAATTCTCAGTTGATTTTTATTTTAGATCTTAATTTAAATTTTCTCCTTTATTTTCGATAGGTTTTTATAAAGAACCTAGTAACAATTGTGAATCAAAATTATTTTTTTTGGTAGCTAAGCCCAGCATTTTTTTTTTTTGTTCTTATATCCTTTACATAATATTAGGCTATATATAAAATTGTTTCATTTCTTTTTCAATTTTGAAATGCTCTTCGGTATTGCTTAGCTATTCTTCTTATTAGGATAGAAAATGAAATAGCTGTATAATTTCTAATCTATCAGAAGTAGTATCAGAAATCTATATATCTGCTTTTAGTTGGAATTCTGTAAATTATTAATCTATTTCTTAAATGAATTAAGATACCTTTTTGGTTTTAAAATTTATTATTTAAGATCATTTTGAAAAGCACACCAATTGCAAATGAATCATGCGTCGAAGATACGTATTAGGATTCCAACATTTCAGGGGGACAGAAAGGGTGAATTTCTTTAAGGTTTTCAGATACCTTATAAGACAATTTGTAATTGAACTACTTATTAATTTATTCAAGATTTTTTTCATTCTTTAATAATTTCTAATGAAGATGATATACATCTTAACAAACCTCCATCAAAAATTTTAGTAAGTCTATTCTATTCTATATTTATTCTTAATTTTCATCAAATATATCAATATATAGAGAAATAAACATCTTACTCTATTATTAAAGTGGAACGGATTTGTAAAGAGGTTATTAATATTAGGACTATTATGCTTAAACTATTTGTGGAGGTTAACTCGAATTTAAATTAATTGGTTAATTTTAATTAGAAATAACCTTTTAATTATTAGAAGGTAAGTTTTGTTGGTATTCTTTTTAGTAATTATTATTTTTGTTTTGATTGCTTGCTATAGGTAATTAATTTATAGGTTTTTATAATAAATCATTATTATAATATCTTATTTCTTAATCTTTTGGAACATTTTAGTTTATATTGTTAGATTTATAATTTTTTAAAGGTTAGTTTTAATTATTGAATTATGGATAATTTTAATGATTTGGAATTTAAACATTTTAAAAATCATCAATTTCTACAAAGTTTATTTTTTGCTATTAGTTTTATTGTTAATTAATAGCATTTTAATTTTTCTATTAACTTGAGTTATTGAATAAACTTTTCTATTCAAGTGTCTATGTTTGAAACAGATCTTAAAAATAGTCACTTGCAAAATCTAAGAGGGATGCTTCATATAAAACCAATTTAATGTGAACATCCTTAATCTTATCCCTGCATTTTTGAATTATCTCTTTAAGAACCATGAAGGATTCATCTGGAGTGAAGCCCGCATTGCCACATCCAAGTGTTGGTATTAAAATGGATTTTATTTTATTATCATATATTTCTTTAAAACTAATTTCTAATAGATTTAATACATATTATGAAATAATTGTCTTAACTAATTAAGTGATTGCAATTGTTATTTGCCGTCATATTTTGGAACAATACAATGTATTATATATTTAAAATCTTTGTGATTTATTGGAAGAGTTATTGCTTATGAGCATTAAATTGATCCTGGTTTTTATTTTAATAAGTAATTGTTGCATGGCTATTAAATATTGTGACGACCTAAGAGATCATATGCTTATTATCTCAAACCAGGGGAATCTTGCATTGATTAATCTGAGGGTAAAGCAATTGCTTGTGCTTATTGAACAAATATATCTCCTTAAATTATTGAAAACATTTTTTAATATTATTTAATATTTTATAAGTATTTAATTAATGATTACCATTTTCAATGAAGAGATGATTCCCTGTAGGGTATATCTCTTAAAAACGGATAAACTGATTATTAAAAATAAACAAGAAGAGGGATTGACGTTTACATTCATCCAATAGAAGAGCAAACCATTAAAAATAGATGAATAATGTAAGTTTGATTGTAAGGTTGGAAATCATTATTTGATTTGCGAGAAACTCAATCTAAAGGCTGAAGTTTATGTTTTTAAAAATTAATATGATAGAGAAAAATATTAGACTGAGGAAGAAGAATTTAAAGCTACAAAGTCAGAACAACAATATGATAGTGACGATATTTCCAATGAAAATGATGAAATTATGAGTGAAGAAATAGGGATCTTGCCTTAAAGAAAGAAGAAATCATTAAAATGGTCAACTGCTGAGACCTCGTCCACTTATTATTCGAAAAAAGAAAATTAATCAACTACATCAGATATGAGTGAGCAGTTATTACCTGAGAAGAGAGGAAAACGTAAGGGCTCTGATCCTGTGATTTAGAAAACAGAACTAATTGTAAAACCTAAAATCTAAAGAGGAACTAATTAAATTAATAATTTATTATAAATTCAATAAAATGCAAAAATTACATAAACAAAATAAATAACAATCTCATAAGAATAATTGTCATCACTAAAACTAAATTGGAATGCTTAAAGGATGATAAATGAATATCTTATAAATTAATATTCTTATTAATGAATCTCATCTTCCACTTATGTTTCAAACTCTATTAAATTATCAAAATGGAAAATCTTCTAGCATATTAATAATTCTAATCTATGAGAATTAGAGAAGTAGAATTTCAATTTATTACCTTATTATAACACATTATTTCTAGTATTCCATTAGAATTATAAACTCTATTAATATAATAGAAATCATACTAAGTAGAATTAGATAAGTTTAAATGCGTTTAAAAAAGAATAAGATCATATTTAAAATTAATGAATTCCTAAGAAAGAATATATATCAAAGCTTTAGTCAGGAAAACTAAAAAGATAATTGAAATTAAGCCTAAGTCCAAATCAATCTCAGATGAAGATAATTATGGATTAACGGATTTTTAAATAAATTCTGAAGAATATTATGAAGAATTTCAAGCTCTATCAGAAGAATTCTCAGGGAAATGCATCCTTTAATCAATTGACTAAACTGAGGATGAGAGTTTAAATTTAAAAAAGAACAGGTCTGGTGAGAATTAATTTTCTCCACGAAACCAAATTGTCCAAGAGTAAACAGCCCCTTCAGAAATCAAAATTTTTGAAAAATAATAGAATTAAGAGATGGAGAATGACAATTTATCAACCGGAACTTTATCTGAATCAAATCAATGTTATGATCTGAATATTGATCCCGTCTAAGTTGCATAATAAGGGGAAATTAACTACTTGGAGGGTTTAAGCAACTTTTTAAGAACCGTTGGGGCGAAATAAAAAAAATAATAATGTTAAAAAAAAAAGAACGAAGTAAAATAAGAAAGCAGGCTACCCTTAATATTCAAATAAATACTCAAGAGTAGTAGAGTCTGATGTTAATTTTGTATCACTTTTAATTATTATATATTTTAACTATAAATTTAATAAAAAATTAAAAATGTCAAAGAGATATTTTATCAATAATTTAGATAGTCCATTAGGCTAAGAATTCTACGCTTAATTAGTAAAGGAAGATACTGAAGAAGGAGTCCATATGGCAACTTATACTATTGATGATCCAAATAAGATGCCTCCAAAGGGTTTTAAGAAAATATTGAAACGGTATGAAAATTTGATATCTTAGATACAAACCCAAGTTGTCTCGAAAAAAGATGCTTGAAGAATGCGATGTGTATGTGTATGATGTAGCCTCTGCAACTCAATAAGATTTAGATTATGTATGCGATATCTTTAGGAACAGCAAAACCACCCTAGAAGAACAGAAGGTATAAGACTATGCTATTGAAAGGTGCTTATTCTAGTTTCCACAGTTTTAACATGGAGTGCTATGCCAGATAAAGTAAAACCAAAAGTGGAGAAAAAACCAGATGAAGAATAGGAGGGAGAACCATAGGAGTAGCAAGAATAATAATAAAAGAAGGAGGAAACAGAAGAAAATCAAGAGCCAAAAGAAGATGAAAATTAAGAATAAGAACAAGAATAATAATAGGTTTAGTAATAACCAATTAATGAAGTTCCTGAGATTATAGAATATGTACCTTGGGAAGAAGGTGATTATAAGTTGAGAAGTGCCTCATCCTAATATTAGCAATTAAAAGAATGGGAGGATATGGTATTGAGTCTGTAGAAGGACAACTTAAAAGTAATAGTTGTTTGTGCAGGATTAATATATGGCAAAGGAGAAATACTCTTTTAAAAATATTTTAAAGTATAGCATTCAAATTAATAAAAAGAAAGCATGGTTATAATAGCCATACAAATTAAGTTATTAGCCAGATGGAAATAATAAAGTTCCCACAGTTCATATAACTGATCTAGTGAAAATGATTGTTAAGGTCTCTGAATCTATTCCAGAATCAAATTACATTTTTGCAGTTGATAATACTAAAGATAGAACACAAAAAGCTATAATATAAGGTATTGCAACTGGAGTTGGAAGTGGTTGGATTGAAGAAAATGATGACTTTTTTAAGGATTTCACTCCTGAGGAAATGGATTGCTTTAGATTACATTTGGATTGCAAACCATCTCAAATGTTCATTGGAAATGAAGAAACTCCATCTGATTTTGAATGGCATTGTGAAAAAGGAATAGCTTTAAATGCTAAGAAAATCTTATAAGAATTCACATCAATACATAAATTAAGACCAATCAAAATAATTATGGAATCTAAAGCTGAAAATATGAGATTTTAAGATATTTTGACTATGATTAGCGATCATTATAGAATTCCAGTGATCAATTAAGAATAAATATTTAAAGATGCTTAAGATCCAAATTATGTGTTCCCATCAGATATGCAAGAAGATTTTAATGAATTATGGCCTGCTATTCAAGAATATATTAATAGTTAAGCTCCTGCATAATTGTCAGAATAATTAAAGATTTATTATAAAGTAATCAAGTGGAGATTAAGCTAAAATGACTGTTAAAACAGAGGATTTATTTTATAGAATTTTCCAAATTACTTTGAAGAGGCTGATTTTATCTTCTATCCAAATAAATAGAAACTCAAAATGAAGAAAAAACCAAAAAAGAAACCAGTTGTTTCTGAAGAAGTAAAACAGCAATCTCAGGAACCTGCTGTTGATGAGAATGGAGATCCTATTGAATAAGAACAAAATGAGGAATAATAATAAGATGAATAATAATAAGAAGAACCATAAGAAGAAGAATAATAGGAGGAAGAGTAATAAGAGGAGGAATAAGAAGGTGGTCCAAAACCAGAAGATTTTTTCCCAGAATCTTATATAGTAATCAAACCATTAGGGAAAACTGATAATTTTGATTATAACAGAAAATTAATTAATTTCTTTAGTGAAAAAAATTTAGATGCCTATTTCATTGATCCAAGAAAGAAAACAAATCATGACACTTTTGAAGATTTGAGAATCTATATTGAAAGAGTAATTTATTTATTTAAGATTAATAGAATGGAAGACCTTATAATTACTTATAAAATGAATAAGAATTAATCATTCAATATTTTAACTTACAGAGAATTAAAGATTTAACTATTAAATATACCAGAAAATAAGCTATACAAATTTGGAAAGAGATTACAAAAGTAAAAAAGGACAACAGATAAGGTTTGGTTACAAAGTACACTAAATACATTTAAGAACAAGAATAAGAATTATAATAAGTTAAACAATTTCCTTTTAGAAACTATTTAATGGATTTTGTAGTTCCAGTATTAAATGAAGGATTGGTGGAAGTGGCACATATATTACCAGATGATCCAGTTGAATTTTTGGTATTTAAACCTTATTATATTATAGGCAGAATATTTGTATAAAAGGAGTTTTAATGTTGACAATGAATGATAATAAATATTATTAATATTAATTCATATATTTATGGAAGTTGAAAAAGTTAATATCTGGTTAGATTGTGATGTCGGTAATGATGATGCTATGGCAATCATTTTGGCATTGTTTCATCCCAAGTCAAATTTATTGGGAATCTCAACTTGTTTTGGTAATACATGGTATTTGATTCACATAACGACATAGTCTTGAAAACTGTACAAATAATACAATTAGATTATTAAGTTCGGTTGGCAGATCCAATGTACCAGTATTCAAAGGAGCAGAATGTTCATTAAAATCTGTTAGGGCTACTACAAAAATGCATGGGAATCAGGGTAATGATTGTTTTTACAAAATTTAAAGGACTATACGCAGCAGATAAGTTAATCAAAAATTTTGAACCAGTCGAAAATATCCCATTGTATGACTTAATCAAATAAACTGCTGGGGATTAGAAGGTATTCACAACTTAAGAGTTATAGTTCGTAATAGTAATAACTGGCCCACAAACGAATATAGCAATTTTATTGAGGGATCACCCAGATATCATTCCTTAAATTTAGGAGATTGTTTTTATGGGGGGAACATCAGGATTCGGAAATGTTACACCAAATTCTGAATATAACATTTATTCAGATCCAGAAGCAGCATAATTTGTAATTGACACTTGCAAATAACATCAATTAAAATTAGTGATGATTGCATTAGATCTAACTTATGTACTCAATTAATTAAATATATAGACATGCTAATTAGTTGAATCATTGTAATAAAGGATCAAAGCTATCAATACAAAGTTTTCAGATTGGTGTTTAGAAATGCTTTAAGAATTCTAAGCAGCTTACAAAGCTTAAGAATTCGATTACCCTCCTATTCATGATCGTAAATTTCATCTTCACTTCTATAATAGCTGTTGCTGTATTTTATCCTCTTCATCCTGAACTTTACATAACCAAACCGTTATTTGTGGCTGTGGATTGTGAATCAAAATTATGCTATGGGAGAACAGTAGTTGATAAATAAGGAGTGCTTGGATTAGAACCAACACTAGAGTTTGGTAGAAAAGTAGTTGTTGAAGAATTTTGGAATTAAATGATTGAAGCCATTAAACAAGCAGCGAAAAATTCAAAGTTGGAATGAAATTATATTATTGTTATTTGAAATTCCTTTATATTATATTACTTAATATGATGGTATAAGAGTAGGTTGTGAAATAATGGATTATAAGCTATACCTAGGGTAGTAAATAGAGATTATAAAAGTAATTTAATTTTCTGAAGAATAATATTAAACTTTTTGAAATCAAATTTATATTATGTTAATGTAACATGATGTTTGACAAAAGCATTAATGAATAATAAGAAATGAATTGAGAAGAAAAAATAAATCATAAAAAGTCATAAAGATATCTATTTATCAAAAGAAATGGCTTGTATTGAATACAAGTTCTCTAGATGAAATGAAAGTATTGACATAATCCTTTGATATAATTAATATAAACTAAAAATTAAAGCAAAAAATTGTATAATATAGTTAAAATCTTATCATTACCAAGAAATACTTTCTCGACTGTTACCCACTTTATATTGTATTTTCCAAATAGTAAAAACATATCTTTTAGTCGGGTCAATTGATTCTCTATGAAATTAAAATAAATAATAACATACAATAAACTACTAATAAATTAAGTAAAATACTTTGTAGATGAATTACATATAAGTAAAGATTAAAACGAACCTTAATAAATTAATAGCATTCAACCCCCATTCTGGATTATTTTTATCGTTACTATACCACCATAACTAGGCTTATAAGTAGTTTATACATGATATTGCTTCATCCACAAAATATCGTATAATATTGAAGCAAGTAGTCCTGCCCCTACTAATTTAATATGAAGTGGCTCAAATCTATCCATCAAAATGGTTAACATCAATCCATGACAGACTAACACCTATATTATGAGGGAATTGTTATTATACATCTAAAAATGAAGGTTTAGCAGAACAAACAAATAAGGTGATCAAACCATAAATTGTGAATATGATAACACCACGTTGAAGAACTTCTGGGGCTTCTGGTGTTTAATCTTGTATTTCTACTTATTTATCAGACTAGAGAATAGACCATACTTATTCTTAAGGAGAATTTATTTAGTGTTATTATTAATCTATTTCATTGATATTATGGTCTGCTTCTTACTAATTTTACGATGATTTTAATTGTTAATTAAAGATATTTGATGACAATTGCTTATTATTTTATTCTTTAGAAAATTATTTAACTTTGAATGGTCTTTCAATTTCTTCTATATTGTTTTTATATTCTATCAAATCACTATCTAAAGTGACCATTTTCTATTCAAATTTCTATAATTAGGCCTATAAGTATTGGTGCTGTGTAAATGATAGCAACATAAATTTACCTTGTTTAACACAACTTACGCTTCTAAGGAAACAGAAGAGCCAAGTTCTCTACCCACAGGATCTAGTAATTTTAATTCAACTTGTTTTATGACTTAGTCGTCCAACTATTGAATGTTCAATTTGGCTTGGCCCCATAGAGTGGGTAAAGAGTTATCTGTTCTGATGTAAAATTGAATCTATAGAGATGAGAGAAGTGGGGGAACTGAACTAATAGATTTGTATTAATGCAAATTTACAATTCAAAATCTTGATTAAATTCAGGATTGGCTTTATCGTATTATTATTATTCTGGTTTAGCAATTTAATTTATAACTCCTAAAGTTAATTAGATGTGACAATTTGTATATTTTAACTGTTAAGGAACGTTTTTTATACATAACAGAGTCAGAAATATGTATCTAGTATTCGAATAAACAGCTAATTATAGATTTATAACAAACATGTTTCAGCTAATTGATTTTCGCAAATAGCTTTATTTTATTATATTTATTTTAATTATTATTCTGCATTCTACACTTTTTCTTCTAACATCTATATTGCATCTTAGATTGTTTGGCCAATATCTGCAAGTCTAAATACTACTTTCATATTCAATTGAGTCGGTTTGCATTATTGAAATAATTATTCTGCGATATCTCTATTAAATTCCTTCCTGCCCATCATATCTAATTTAGCCAATATTTCATCAGCCTTATACAAAATTTCCTATTTTAATCCGTTTTCCTCAAATCCTCTTAATACGGTTTATAACTTCAACATATTAAAATTTATTTATATTATATTCACGTCTTTAAGGATGGAAAGGAATTTGCAAATTAAAATTAAATTTACTTTCAAGCTCAAGACTAATAATTAATGAGAGAATATATAAATCAGTTTTTTAATTCATTTACTTTGGCTTAAATATATATATTAATTAATATTGAAATATCTCAAATTAATTAAACAAAATGAATAGTAATACAAAAATAACCTTGACAATTGAATAATTAACAGAGTTACTAATGAATCCATAATTACCTAACATTTAAAGCAGTTTGCAATCATTGTCTGAATTTGAATTGAGAAATAACAACGTCGATTTAATGAAAATAGTATCATTTGTTGATTAGGATGAGTTCCAAGCCATCAGCACATCTACTTCAAGTAAAAATAGTCAAACTTAATAAATGATTGAGAAAATTAATGAATTAGAAGTGGAAAATAATTATCTCAAAAATTAATTAGAGTAGTAGATTGAGAAAGAAAACCATTTAAGAGAATAGATGAACTAATACTTGAAAGAATCATTAAAATTAAAATCAGAGAATGAACGTCTTACCAAATAAATGGACGAACTAGAAGCAATGATAAATCAAAGCAAAGTTATATCTAATAGACTTGATCCTGTCTCTAAATCTGTCCACTTGGATGTGAAGAAAGCCTTAATTGTCAAACCATTAACAATAACTCAACCTTTACGTAAATTTTCAGGTGCTAGTGGAATAGTAGCATAGCATCCTTTTAAAAATTCCAAAGACTTAATTAGAATAAAAACTGAAAGAAGCTATTAATGAGACTATCAAATTTTGATTATTTTCTACGTTATATTACACATATTTGTATAAAATATAAGTAAGCTGGGAGTTTTGATATAATTACTGATATCCTAAATCAAGGAATTTCACTATTTGAAAAAGAAATTAGTAGCAAATGAATTGAACTCTTAATCGATTCTGGTAATGAATAGCTTAATATATATTAATATTCATAAAAATGTTATCATAAATAATTTTGGCTACACTATTAGGAATAACTTTTTGTGGTTGGACAAGGACCCCATAAATAAAAATAGACAAGTTTAACAAAACTGAATAGGCTATCTCCATTAGCACTGAGGATTTCAAACATTTAAAATACCCCAATGCTTTTGATTTGGAATTGTATTATCAGGAAGGACTCACCGAAGAAAAAGATATTACAAAATACTAAAAAATCGATGATAATCGTCTATAATAACAAGGGTGCTCTTATTCTGAAAGGAAAATAAAGGTAGAAGATCAAATGTAGATTTAATTGCCTGATGAAGGCAAGTACAGTTTTACTGATATGATAGTTATTGAAAAATCAGCATTTGTAATTAGGAATGATCATAAAATATTTATTGTCTAATTAGATTTTAATGGGAATGAGTTGAAGGTATGCCATAATAATTATAATTTAAGAAATTAAGTGTTTCTTCTTAACATTTAGATTTTTCAAATTAAATTGCTATTAATCTCAAAAAAAAACCTCAATTTTTGGTAGCAGGCCAATAAATCTTTGTTGTGACAGAGAAGGGAACAATTGGCTTCAATTTTACGGAATGGTAGGATGGAAGATTGCCGAAAATAAATTTCCATAATTTGGAAGAAGTGAGCAGTATCTATTATGTCCATTATGATGAAAAATTTAAACGAATGTTTATCGTAGCTGGAACATAAGGCGTATTGGTGTATGAAATAAAAGAAAAGGAGTTTAATCATCTTTATACAATAAATATAAATTTAAATATAATTAAAGTGTAAACTAAGGATGATCAATTATTTTTATTAGATGATAAAAAAGGAATACACTTTTATACTTTAACTGAAAGTGAATACAAAGATAGTGGTAACATATACAATGTAATTTAGAATTCTTAATTCCTCTGGAAAATCCTATATCTTTTGTGTATAATAAGAACTCTTTCTTAGTAGTGGCTTAAACTGGGTAATCTTCAGATAAGATCATTTTTGGAATAGAAATTCTGTTTCATTTTAAAAATCAAGAATTTTATTATAATAAATTCTATTTAGAAGATATGCAATTGAAAGATGTCTAAAGTTGTGGTAACTTTTAATTTTTAATTGGTTATGATGTACACAAAATCATATAAACAAATGTATACAGAGGATTTGTGGATGAAAATTTTGATTATGATACTGATTTCATGATACCATTATTATAGAAAATTGAGGAAATAGAAGGCACAGATTATGAAAAAGCTAACTATTAATATCATCATTCATTAGCATTGACTCCTCGTCATTTATATGGATTGATTATTAAGGACCGAAATCCAGAGATAGTTTGTTCATCTCAAAAGTAAATTGAGTAATCTTACGCAATTTTAATTAATTCAACGTAATGTGAAAAGGCAGTAACAGATCCTTTTATAGTTTGTCATGAGGAGCATTTTATTAATTTAGTGGTAAATGAAGTATTGCTAGATTCATAATCGTAATGGTATGCAGAGGTATTCTTGATTGTGGTGTTCGTAATCTTTATTTTGTTATTGATATGTGGATACAAAATGTGTACTAAATGGAGAGCAATTATGTAAAAGGTGGAGGCTGAATTGTAAAATAAAAAAGGTAATAAACAATATACAAACCTTCATATTGGATTATGAAATTTTTCAATAGTTTTATACAGTATACAAATATTATCTCGAATTTATTATATTTATATTTTGAATCTTTAGAATATGCATCCACTATTGTTTAATTAGAGTATTAACTGATATTTATAACAAATTGCTTTTCTAAATTGTATTTATATAAATGAAAGTTATTTTACTTAGAATTATTTTTATATTGTATTCATGTTGATGGTTTAAGGCAAATTGAAATGAGTGTTAATTATAATTGAATTAGTTTTACTTCAATGGAATTTAAGATGGGCTATGAATTATTTAAATAATATGATTTTTTATAAATGTAAAAGAGGAATACAGTTTTCATTTGCTCTTAAACTTCTCATTACTGCAAGTTTCTCTAATGACATTTATTTGATAGTAATATCCTCGGTGAATATATTTACAATATTATTGATATTGAATAAGAAATATACACCAATTTGGAAATATTTCCGAATTATTTTGCTTTTAGAATTGTGCCTTAATGATTAACCTTTTGGACCTGCTATTGTGGCATCAATCAAATATAACATTAAATACAAGATCATAATCTTGTCCTATTACCTATTGAGAGTAAGTTTATTTTTTTTTCATACCTTCAAGATTATTGATTGGATTTACTTAGGAATCCTTTTTGTTGGTTTTAACACATACTTCTACATGCATGTAATAACTATTTAATTTTTAGGATCTAAAGTAAACAGACAGTAAAATAAATTCATAATCTCAAAGGAAACTCACTTAATTTGACATTCCTTCTCAAAACGATTCTAATGAAGTTATTGATTTCTTAAATTATATTCCTCTAGGAATATGTGTATTAGATAGCAATTACAATCTATTGAATTCTAATCACAAAACAAAAAAATATTGTTCTAATATCAAAGAGGATACTTTATAATAACAGCTGTTTTTGATGATACAAAGGTAAATGTCATTCGATGCAATATTTTAGAGCCTGGATCCAATAATAATAGATGCCCAGTGCTTTGAGGTTTGAAAGAAGGTCATTGTTCAATTCTTCTGAGGATTATGGGTCTGATTTTCAGTTGAGAAGGATGCAATCTTGTAGTTAAAGTAGGAAAAAAGCAATATCTTTTACTTCCTGTCGGCAATATAACAATCCCGTAGATATTGTCTAAATCATCAATAAATACAAATCAAAAGGTATTTCCGGAAGCATCAGTCTTAATTCTCTTAAATATAGAGATTAAACTAATTTCAAAACATACGAGATAAAGATATATGAAATACCAAAAGGATTATTGGTTATGATTAAAAACATAACAAAAAAGGAAAAAGAAATTGATATGAAAGAGAGATATCATTTCCAATAAATGCTTATCAATTCCTTTTCACATGAATTACGCACGCCTTTAAATTGTTCTCTCTCTCTGTTACAAACATTAGAACAATAAATGAAATCAGAATTGAATGATACATATTTAAAGCCTGCAATTATCTCAAATAAAAAATTACTACATCAAATTAATGACATTTTGGATTTCGCTAATTTTGAAGTTTAAACCTTCAAATTAAGACCGACTATTTTCAAATTGTCAAATCTAATATAAACAATTGAAGATTATTTTAAAGCGGAATGCGCCTAAAAGAAAATCGAATTTGTCATTTAATCTTGCCAAGATGCTTACATCAGAAGTGATTTTGATAGAATATTACAAATTTTAGTTAACTTATTGAACAACTCAGTTAAATATACAAAACAAGAAGGAATCATTTAATTGAATATCAAAAGAGTAGGATAATTGTATCAATTCGAAGTCTTTGATACAGGATGTGGTATTTCAAATGAGAAACTATTTTTTATTAATAAAATTCTGTAAAACTAAGAAGTTGATATTGCAAGAAGAGGCGAAGAAGATTATATTTAATATGTGGGTTTGGGTTTAAAAGTGTCAAGTCAAATTGCCAGACAACTCTGCGATAGAGGTGAATTAAGTATAACAAGTTAATTGAATCAATTTACAAACAATAGATTCGTTGTTAAAGATTTGTAATCTTATGATGAAGCATTAGTAATACCAACAGATGAATGCATTTAAGAACCATACAAAAGCAAGGTGAAAAATAAATGTAATTGTCTAAATGTACTTATTGTTGATGATATCCCCTTCAATCATTTAGCATTCATTACAGTATTGAAATATTTCAATGTCAAAAGTGACAGTGCCTATGATGGACAAATGGCTATTGATATGGTTAAGAATAGATTCAAAAATTGCCAATGCACTTATAAATTGATTTTCATGGACATTGATATGCCTGGGATTGATGGATATTAGACTACTTAAGAAATATAGTAATTTTTAGAATAGAATGACATGAGTTCAACAATCATTATGTGCAGTGCATTTGATAGTAAAGATAACATTGATATTGCTTATAAAAGTGGCATGAAGGATATCCTACCTAAACCAATAGAAACTAATCGACTCAAAAAAATACTATATAAATATTATTTTTGATTATAAATCTATATATCTATAGATTCTTTTTAAACATTGTTTTCTTATTGTAGTTCGAAGTGTTGCCATTGTGTTCTGTGCATTGGATGTGTCGATCCATTTGACGATAAACTAAGTAGAGAAAACTTAGAATGTTAATATAATTTTAATACAAATTAAAATGTCAATAATTATTATGACATTGATTATATAATCCACCATTGTGTCGATATATAATGGTGTTACGTAAACTTAGTAAAGTTACTTTTTACTTTTGGATATACTCTTATTTTTGGGATAATATGGGTAAAACTTAAAGTTGATTCTATTAATTGGTAGTATATGTTTGTCGAATGAATTGCTAATTGCTGATGAAGATGTAAATTTTATATTAATGTAGATTAAATGTTATTATATGAGCATGCGATTTGTTCTTAGTGCCAATGTACTATTGGAAAAACAAAAATCTATTTACTTTTTAAGCTGCCTCTTTTATTTACTTTTCAGGTCCTTTTTATACTTATAACCATTGTCGTATTTGACTATCTTTGGATATTTAATGATTTTGATCTAATGTAAAGTTTTGAATAATGCAAAGGTCTTTCTCAAAATACAGGTGATGGAAAATCTAAGAATTACCAGACACAATAAATTTTTGAGTTTTTCAAAGCCAGTCTCCCTCTTCCTCTTTGTATAATTCAAAATAATTGTATGTGATTTTGCTATTCCTAGAATTTTTATTTAAAACTGATTAGTTTATAACTGAATACCTTGAAATCACTCCTTAGATTATAAGACTGATATCTTCAGAACATAATAAAGACAGCATAACCAATTATATATCAAATAGGAGAGCAAATACCAATAAATCATTCATGTATGAAGCAAGAAGGAGATTGAATAATTGCAACGTCTTGTAAAATGATAGTCAAGTTGAATTCTATTGCAATGTTAAAAACTACTTTCCTGTGGATATAGAAGTTGCAGAAATAATTTGGGAAGAATAACCAGCTACAATGCTTGTTTTTTAAACTTAAGAATAGCGATAAGATAAGAATTAGATTAACGATTTAAAGTAGAAGGATTAGTATAAAGATGAGATGTTGGCTAGTGTATCGCATGATTTCAAAACTCCAATCAATGGGATAGTCGCTATTGTGCAATTTTTAGAATCGTAAGCATTTTACATTTTATTTAAGGATTGTAGTTGACCAAAACGAGCTTAATTACTTAAAAATATTAAAGAAATGGGCTTAACTATTGTTATTCATGATTAGCGACATTTTGGACTTCTCTAGAATTCAAAATAATACTCTTAGATTAACTAACACTACTTTTTATATCTAAGTTATTGTCTAAGAGATTATTGATTTGATATCTTTATAAGCCAGTCAGAAGGGAATTTTAGTGGAAAAAAAAATAACCTTTGGAGATAGAATGATGTATTCAGATCCCAATAGAATTAAATAGATTTTATTAAATCTATTAAGCAATTCCCTAAAATTTACTTAGAAAGGTAAAATAAGTATCTTGGTTGATTATAAAAATACAGAATTAGACAGCTAATTTAAAATCATCACAATCAGTGTTTCAGATACAGGAGTAGGTATCCCAGATAATATTAAACCAAAGTTGTTCTAAATGTATGGTACTTTTGACTTCACTAATAATGGGTCAAACAAACATGGTATTGGATTAGGATTGGTTATATGCAAAAAACTAGTTGGATTGTTGGGTCCATCTGATAAAATTGAATTGAAAAGTTAAGTTGGAGTTGGATCAACTTTTAGTTTTGATGTATATATCGATATTGATTAAAGAAATACTGTTTCTAAACAATATTAAAAAGAAATGACTAATATTTATAAGTAAGATACTAAATAAAGTTTATGTGATCATCAAAATACTAATTTACTTATAACTTCCTAATTCACTATCTTCAATTAAACAATACATTAACCAACTATCAACAACAATTTGAGTGGGATGACCAAAAAGCTCAATAAAAAATCCATATCAACTTTATAGGAAATTAACGATAAGAAGTCTCACAAAGCATTATAATTTCGAACCTTAAATCCAAAAAAACCAAAGAAAAAATCTTTACTCCAAAGGGAAAATTCCATTAATAATGTTTCCCTAAATCTAGAGGATTCTGACAATTCCAAAACAAGAAATATTGAATATTATTTGGAGTTCCATAACGATATTACTTATGCAACGTAAATATTTAAAAACCAAAGATAAATTGAAATGAATAACAGTCCTATAAATACTCCGTTTTATTAGAATGAAAGTTCTGAGTCTCCAGTTATGCATATAAGACAGCGTAAACCATTGTAATTCACTGAATCCATTGAGGATATGATGAGAATCCTATTTCCAGAACCTTGTACAATTTTAGTTGTTGATGATTCACCAGTTAACGTATTTGCATTCAGATTAATCATGCAAAAATACGATTTCATAACTATTGAAGAAGCATACAATGGTGAATAGGCTCTTTAGAAAATTAGGATGAATATACAAAATGATAGGAAGTATCAATTCATTTTCATGGATTTAACAATGCCTATCATGAATGGATACGAAGCTACTGAATAGATTCGAATTATGGTATCATATTTTAAGTTATTTTTATGTGATTCTAGGAGAAGGATAATTTAATAGAAAAAAGTTTCATAATTGCCCTGACAGGATATGACGATCTCAAGGAGAAAGAGAAATGTTAATAAAAAGGCTTTGATGCATTTGTGTCTAAACCTATCAAAATTATTGACATTATCTCTGTAGTTAATGAAGTAAAAAATATTAAAGACCCTTAAATTTGATTTTATGAAAACTTATTTATATTTCTATTTTTGAAGATAACTCAATGTACAAGTGCAATCTTTTCTTTGATCTAATTGGACTTTTAGAATTTTATTATTAACATTTTAATTCCCAAATAGTCAGTTCTAAAATTATTCATTAAATTCACATTATTATTTTTTTTTATTAATAAATTTATTGAGCAGTTAATGTCCTCTACACCTCGCCAAATCAAATCACTGAATAAAGAATTATATCTGACCAGCATACCTTATAACAGCAAATTTTAGAGAACTTTTACAAATGAGGAAATGTCAAGCGTGTCTAAAAAATTAGATTTTGATCAATTTGACAATCAAGTATCAAAATCAAACTTATTGAAAATGAATTCACTACCCCTTAAAGGAATCAGTCAAATAAGATGATCGAATTACTAAATAATGATTTTAATTGTATATAGTTTCCTCATACTTTATCAAATTTCACATTCATTATTATACAAAACTATAATTAAAATCATAATCAACTTTATAACTCCAAATACAATACTTTTTTCATTAATAATTATATACCCATTTAGACACATAATTATTCTTTAAAAACTCTGTGATGTCTTATAGCAAATAGCCTCAATTATTAATTAAAACTCTAAAAATTTCTGATTGATTATCTCTTATAAGGATGTATTTTATTGAGTTTTTATAAATATAATAATTTAACAAACTATGGATCAACAATCATTGAAGCAAATATTGAGTTCAAGTAATACATATAGTGGCACAAAGAAGTATTTTGAGGCTATTCAACAATAACAATAGTAAATAATTGAATTATAATCAGGGATATCATCTAAATGTGTTCTGCTGTTGTAATTAGCATTTTATAAGATTAATAAGGAGCTCATCTATCTAAATTTTATAGTTTGAAAGTACAATCATGCTTTAATTTAGTTTATTAATGAATTATTGGAATTGTAAGAATATGATTGGATTGATTTGACTTAAAAGAAAATCCTACCAATTTTGGAGGAATATGCAGTCTTTAAAAAGGAGAGTTAGGATGATGAAAGGGGTAAGTATTTATTTATTTAAAATACATCATAAAAAAAAAAATATGAATAAGTTAAAGAATTGGAATACGCTGGAAGCATATTTTTTAGGTATTTGCTTGAAAGTATTTGGGTTTGGAGTAAATGGTTTCCACTTGATACAGTGGCAGGAAAGTTAAGTTTATTTAAAATTGCTTAGGAGAGACTTTCATTATAAAAGGTTAAATTTCCTCAAATATCATATTTCAATAAAAGTTAAGTAATAAATCATATGCAAATCTAAAGGGTACAAATTATATTATATTTTAGCCCCCAAAAGAAATGTTAGAAGAGTGCAGACTTCTAATCAAGGAACATTTGGAAGACAATTCAAATACAGATCTTTAGAGTTTTTAGAAAATTTTAAACAAGATTTATTTTACTGACAAAAAGCATTATTTACAAAGTCTTAAGTCTTATCCATAAGTTTGGAAGGAAACAGTTGAATTGATGAAATAAGGCAAAATGGGCTAAGATGTTTAGATTAAATTGAGAACTGCTTAAGTATCAATAATGCAGAAGAAATTCTTCTAAGCCACTTAGAATCTAAAAAAAAGCAAAGTCGCTTTGCAATAATAAGTTTTCAATTTTTCAACAGTTTTAAGCGAAAAGGAATAATTATTGACTGAGATTAATAATCACATATTGGAAAAAGATCTATTAAAAAATTAGATATCTTAATTACAAAAATAAAATGATGGAAATTTAAAAGAGAATGAAGATCTAAGGCTGTAACTTAGTTAGCTGAAACTTAAATTTGATACAACAGAAGTTTAATAGGAAGCCCCAACTTTGTCTAATACTTTTAATGATTAATTCTAAAGATCAAAAGATTTAGAAAGACAATTACAAAAAAAGGATATCGAAATTAAGAGACTGACTGAATAAGTTCAGCACTATAAAAGTTTTATTAGTCAAATGAATGGGAATCTTGATCAATTATAAAAATTATAAGAATAAACTGAAATGGAAAGATTTTAATTACATTAAGAAAATCTGAAATCAAATTTGAAGTAAGAAGAACTTTAAAATCAAATAGGTTTATTAAAATAATCAAATAATAGACTTAATGAAATTATAAAACAATTATAAACTTAAAACAATCAATAGTATGAAGAATACTTACAAAGTTTAGAAAAGAATTCAATCTATATATAAAAACTGATCTCTGATTAATCTGAAAGTCCAAATTTAAAGTAAAAACAAAATGAATAAGTTAAAGAATTGGAACATCAAATTCAAAGATAAAAACAAGAAATTGAAAATCTTAAGCAATAATTAGATGATAATTAAAAATCTGGAATGCAATACAATAATTAAACAAAATAATGTATGATTTCTAATAAAACTAGAATATTTTAGCCAAAAAAATGAGCGAGGTTTAAACAGTACTTCTACACTGTATAAAAATTTTTAACATCCAGATGATGTAGAATAAGAATATAATTAAGTTTAAATTAAGCCAACAAATACTTACCAAAAATCATTTGAAAATAAGATATTTTAAGGGTTTTAATAAAAAAAATGACAAAAGACTATTTTTTGTTAACAAAAATTTAAATACGAAATATGTTGGACACTAATTTATATTTTATTATCATTGGTACTTCATTACTTACCATCAGCTCCCTTCCCTTGATTCTCTTCATCTTTAGGTTTTTTATCTTCTTTGATGTTGTTACTTTCTTACTTTTCTCCTTCAACGCTAAACAGAATTCAACTTTAAAAGTACGAGCCGGAAGACTCTGAATTGTGTGAGTCTTTTGAAGAGCCTCTTGATGAGGACTTTGATTTCTTTTTCGAACTCTTTCGCTTCTTATTCTATTTCTTTTTCTTATCTCTAGATGAACTACTAGATGAGGAATCTGAACTGGATGAACTCTTTCTTTTTTTATATTTCTTTTTGTGTTTTTTTCTAGACTCACTAAAATTCATTATTATCTATTCTTTACCTACTACTAGAGCTAGATGAACTAGAAGATGATGATCTACGTCTGCAATTCTTAGCACTAAAAAATAGGTAAATGAATAGATATAAAATATATCGTATTCTATGATAAATTATTAAGACGATATAAAACTTACAAATGTCCTGAGTGACCGCAAGAATAACATAAGCCATTGTTTTTGCTAGGCTTATTTCCACGAGCCATCTCAACTTATAACACCGATCCTTTTACTTCTTCCTTATTCATTTTTTTAACAGCTTTCTCTGCATCATCAGGATCTTTAAATTCCTACAATTAATTCATGATATCTACAATGAAACAATATTTTCCTTTCCATGCAAATTCTTCAATTTTCCCAAATTTCTTGAATAACTTTTTAATATCATGTTGATCCTCTTTAAGAGAATAACCTGTCACATACACTCTTTTCTTATTCTTCCTAGGTGACCGTGACCTTGATGAACTTGAAGATGACATATAATTTAAATAAAGGATACTTTTTTTAATATAATTTTTATACTCAATAATTTTATTGTTTCCTAATGTTTCTATTGTTTCTATGATATTTACACGTTTCTTCTCTAAGTTTAATTGTTACTTAGACTTGCTTAAAAATCCCTATATTAAGTTAATAGTTATATTCATAATTTTGACATAAAATAATATTATTCTTCACAACTAAATATTTAATTAATGACTGACTGTTCTTAAGAAAAAATAAAACTTCACCTAATCACCATAAACACCCTTTCAATGACTCAAATCATTATGAAGAATTTTAAGAAAATTTATTTATAATATGTTTCTTTTGTATTAATTATTAATGTCTACATTGATTCAGAGAAGTTATAATTAAATTCACATTAACATTATTAGGAATGTTGATTATTATTTATCAATTTTTGTCAGCTAATTACATTGAAAAATATCAAAACATATAGTCGAACAATTTATAGTAAAATATTAATAATAATTTCTTATTATTGTGTGAGGAGACATAATCTAAAATTCCAAGAGCCATCTTATCATTCTCTCAGGAACTCATTTTTCTATTAGATTTGATGTAATATATTAATTAGTAATAGACATTTATATGCTAAATAGAATTCGAGAGTTTTTTGCTATATAAATTATTTATTATTTTTATATAAACCTTATTTTTTAAGTAGATTATATGGTAAGATAAAATGAAATAGTATGAATAAAATTTAAGTTATATAAAATTGATATTATAAATAATCAAATATATGTCAACAAAAAACATTAATAAATTGAAACTGAATGCTCTTATGTCACCTCCTTCTTCAAATGTTAGGATCTCGAAAAATACTGCTTAATAATTGTCAAGTAATGGTGTTAGTCCGAAAATGTTATCGAAAAGTCCTAACTACTCTCAATACATACAGCAATAATTATCCTAAATTTATACTCCTCCTAAGGAAAAGTTATCATCGATAATAAATATCTCATAATCAGAGAGATCCGTTTATTCTTTTAGAATACCGACTTTAAGAATGAAGGAGAAATGCTTTATTAAAAAGTAATAATAATATAAATTGGGATAAAGTTCATTTGAAATTAGTCTCACTACTAATACATCCTCAATTTTTATATTCAAAGGATCAATTTAGGAAATGAGTCAATTCAAGGTCATTCAAATGACAAGAGCAGAACTACAAGCAAAATCCTCATCTATTTATCTTGCTCGATAAAACTTACTATTAAAGATACAACAGAGCCTCAATGTTCCAAAAAGTTATACCCAATTATCTTTGGGAAATTATGAAGCTATACAATTTATGGAAGAGATTCCTCTCAACTGCAATGTTTTACTTTTGAGCAAAACAGTAAATAAAGATTTTTGGAATATTATATTAAATTATCATAATTTTTAATTTACACCTTAAAAATTCGCAAAAATCCTTACTATCATAAGTAAAATTAATGATTTAAATGATCTACTTAAATTTATCTTAGATAAAGATGTATTTTATACTTATATGGAGTTGAAAGAAATATTTTTGAATGAAGATTTACTTACAATGAAAAGAAATCCCCTAGCAATGAAAGATTTCTACAAGAGTTTAAACGTCTATGATTAAGAGAAATAATAATTCATTGATGAACCTATTACGCAAAAATAAATGGAGGCCGATACTCTTAAAGTTGAACATGATAAGGAAATGAAAAAGGATTTTACACTTTTGAATCTAAATCCAAACCCTACTGATTTTCAACGCATTTTAGAGAAGGAAGGGCTGTTGAGTCCATCCAATAAAAGACCGTCTAGTCGATGTAACCTTATATTTAATGATTTAGACTTAAAACTACCTAATTTCAGAACTCAATATGGCGAAATCTTAAAGTAATAAACGATCTAATAAAAACATAAGTATTACTATTATCTATTGAAAACAGAAATAAGTATACCAACATACCAGACCATATAGCAAGAAATATATTGCATATGACTCACTACAATTTACCATAATTAATGAGGGAAACAGGGTTCGATAGATAAGAAATTTATGAAGTATTTAGTCGATATAAAGCTTTACTTAGTTATGAATGTTCTCAAATTCCAGGATTAACGAAAGAGAGTAAAAATATTAAATTACGTTTAGTGATACCTAATGGTATCTCTAGAGAAGCTTTTAATGCTGGCTTAGAAGAATTGTCTATGGCTCCCCCAGGAGTAGTAGATCAAATATTTAAATTTTTTGCAAAGTAGAATTCGCTAGGTTTTGAAGGGTTTTTAAAAGCTATCAACTTAATTAGAGCAAAAGGAAATGATAATAAAATTGAACTAATATTAAAAGTAAAATTTCAAGTTATCCAATAGTTAATTGACGAGAACGAGAATGGCCTATTGTCCTATGAGGAAATTAAAAATAGATGTAGCTTTATGATGGAAGAAATGCTGAAAGACTCAAAAGGTGAATTAAGTGTCAATAACATGATAGAATACGTGACAAGATCAATATTTGATGTATAGATTTCATTTTAATTTAAAGGCAGTCAAGATGAATTATGATGAGGAAATTCCGATTGATAAGATTAGAAAACTGATAGAAAGTAAAACACACGAAGCTTAGGTTTTGATAATGATGTGTTGTGGAGATGTTGATTACCTAAAATGATATATAATAATAAACCATATCTAAAAAGATCTCTGAAATCTAATTAACACTTATGCTTTAAATTATAATCTTGAATATTTCATTTATAATTTAAAAATAGACTGTTTATTTTAATTTAAACCATTTGCATCATTCTAATTTAATATTTTTTTAATTCAATACTATTTTTCTATTAATGGGCATTAATTGATAATTAACTTAATGTATATATTTCATAATTTAAAAAAATGAGAACTAATTAATATGAATATAGATATCACTCAATTTAGTTATTGTAATTTATATCTATCTTGGATTTTCTTTATTCTCCATTTGCAGCAGCAGATACAAAACTAACAAATAATGGATTAGGCTTAAAGTTTTTGGAAGTAAATTCTGGATGATATTGAACTCCAACATAAAATGGATGCTAATTCTTTGGCAATTCCAGAATCTTGAAATAAATATTGAAATAATACTTTCATTCTTTAACCAGTCTACTTATCTTTTCCAGAGAATATTACCCCATTTTCATTTAGAGTCTATATCTTTCAGGATTGACTTCATATCTATGTCTATGTCTTTCCTCTACATGATTTCCCAATCTCATATTACCTCCAAACAACTTTAGATCAATTTCTGGCATGAATACAACAAAGTTTGTTCCAACTTATACTTCTTTTCACTCCTCTGAAGTAGCATCCTTAACTCCTAATATGTTTTTAGCATATTCAATAACAGCTGCTTAGAATCCATAGCAGATTCCTAGAAATGGTTTCTTTTTTTCTCTGGCATATTAACAGCACTTGATTTTCAGATTAAACCCATTAGATCCGAATCCCCCAGGCAATAGGATAGCATCAAATTGATAGCATTCTTTTTTTAAAGTTATTCTTCTGCGTCTGGTTGATTTTGGAATTCAATAAGATCAATATATTTTTATTGTAAATTTACTTTAATAGCATAACTTGCCTCTTTCAATGCTTTTGTCAACGATATATAGGCATCCTATATAGATTGATAAATTCAATGCCAAATTTTTGATATATTTTCCCATAATTTCTACAATAACTGGCTTTTATTACTCTAATTCTTTCAAGTATTATCCAAACTTTGTGTATTATTAAATATTAGGAACTTTTTAAGTAGAAGCTTAAATTTGTCTAATATGTGTTCAGCCAGTTTTATTTTTATAATACTTCTGGAACATCAAAAATGTCTTGAGAATTGGTACAGAGAATATTGAGTCTTTGGAGATATTTCCAAACATAGCCAACTTGTCTCTTTGTGGAATTTACAATTCAATTTCAGATCTACATATTATAAAATCAGCTATCAATCCTGTGTATCTTAGATCCTTGATTCCATTTTATGCAGGTTTTGTTTTTTATTCACTATTTAATGTTAAAATATAAGTAAGCATAATCTAGAATATATTAATATATTACCAAACCAACATTATCCTTTCCCTCCTCGTTTATCATTTATCTAACAGCCTCATAATAACAAGTGGATTCAAAGTCACCCACAGTTCCTCCTACTTCAACCAACATATATCTGGTTTATCAACAGCATCATGCCTCAGTGGTACAGTTGTTAAATGTCTGATCCAACTTTTATTTCGTCAACCACATGAGGGATAACCTAAATAGTGTCCTTCTCTTTCCTTTCTATTTTATAACTTAAATAGTGTACTGTAATATTTTTTAATATAATTTCCCACTAGTTAAGCTATTATAAAAAGATACCTCAATATCCAAATATCTTTCATAATTTCCAATATCCAAATCTACTTCTCCTCAAAAATGTCAATTTTATAGCTTACCCATCGCCTGTAACAAAAACTTCATCATGTTCATAAGGATTCATCATCCCTGCATCTATGTTCTAAATTTTAATTGATTCATACTAAATATGGATCGATTTTCAAAAATGACACTTGATAGCCATATTATTTCAACAGCATTCCTATGCTGCTATTTATTGTTAGTTTTGCAATTCCAGATGCGATTGCACCACAAATAAACAAATACTTGCACTTATTTAACATATTAATAAATTATGGATTAGGTTTTTAATCATTTAATAAAAAGAGCAACTCCCTAACCCATTGTTAAAGTTGGAACTCCTTGGTAATGCATTCCTATTAAAAATGATAAACAAGCAAGAGATACAACAGAGGTTCATATGGCTAATCAAGGATTTAATGAATTGGCATAATTTGATAAGTTCATGAATCTTGAAGTTGTTTGGCTTAATGAGAATTAAGTAAGAGATCACCCTTATTTGATTTTAGTTAACCAGTGTTAAAGGCATTGAATAAAACTTCAGAATTAAACATCTTTATTTGCAAAAGAACAAAATTAGCACCCTTGAGGGTCTATAAAATCTGAAGCATTTAGAAACATTGAGTTTGTTCAACAATGAGTTAAGAGATTTGGAAAAAAATCTTTTGATTTTAAAAGAATTTCCAGGACTTACAACTTTGGGTTTTAAATTTTTCTTATATCGTCTTAGATTTATTTAATAATCCAGTTGCGGAAGAACCTTATTACAGAAATAGAGTCATTTCAGCTCTCCCTTAACTACAGTTATTAGATCGATCAATAATAACTGTCTAGGAAAAGATTAAGGTTGAAGCATGGTACAAGGATTTCAAAGCAGAAGTTAAAATTAAGAAGAAAGGGTAGAAGAAACAAAAGCTCCTTCCATCCTAAATCTTCTCAGCCGGAGAAAAGATACTATACAAGGAGGTGGATGAAATCAAAGCAAAGAGAGAATAAGAAAAGGCTGATGAGATTGAAAGAGAAAGAACTAGGATCAAGTTAAAGGAAAAAACCTTTGATCCTAATAAATTCCCAACGAATGAATTGAAAGAGTAATTAAGGTAGCGACTTCATGACAATCCTATGAGTTTAGTTAATGAATGGGAAAAAGGGAAGCTCAAGAAGATCTTTAAATCATATGATAAAGGTAATAAACTTAAATTTAAACTAGAAAAGAAGGGATCAATCACATAGGATAAATTGTAGGGATTATATGGAGATCTAATGAATGACATAGCTAATATAGGCAAGGTGCCTGCTGTGTCATTTGAAAAGTTTAAAGAAACTATGTCAGAGGATCCATTGCCTTGGGACTCTTTTTGTTTTCAATTAAATCATATAGATTTCTAAAGAGCTCCTGAAGATTTGCTACAAAAGAAGATTGATGAGAAATATAAAGAATTCAACCGTAGATTAAATGCAGGAAAGAAGGCTGAAGCAAAAGAATTCATGATAGAGGCAGTGAGACTGGAAGCAGCAAGAGATAAGGATGAGCACAAGTAAATTAAGATAATTTTAATAAAGGTTACCAGAAATTGTACCTGAGGACAATACTAAAATAAGGAGTGATTGTTTTGATTTTTCAAGATATAAGTATAAGTAGAATTTCACTGATACTGCAAAATATCTTTTACAGTGAATTTTATATCCATATATTATTAACCATTACAATTATTTAATATTTGAGATAAGCCTCTTGAGAAACTATTGCAGTTGAGATATTGATGCTCCATTTAATATTAATTTAATAATAAAAAATATTCAATATATGTTAACTTTTAAAGTCATTTTACCAGATTAATCAGAAGGATTATACCAAATATCTAAAACTTCCATGGTCAAAGAGTTTGTGTAAATTATCAAGGAATAGAATTCTGAAAAAGATTGGCACAAATATGAACTAGAGTTATATTTATTTGATTAATTACTCAATTAGGAGGGATCAGTTGATAAAATTATATGCAGTCCATCAACTGATTATCTAACCTTAAAAGTAAGGAAGGGAGAAAGAATCAAAAGATTATAAACATTCTTCTCTACTGCTTTGATTAAAATATAAAAAAAAACTGAGGATGACATGAGTGGACTTAAAAAGGCTTTGAAAAAAAGTTCTACTATTTAAGAATTACCAAAATAAACAGAAAAATAGAATATCAAAAAGTTGTTGTCATTTTTTGCAAGTGCTACCCTTAAAATAGCAGAGATTTCTCGATAAAAAACTTAAAATTTTACTGAAAAAGTTTAATAAACAGAAAAAGGGAGACATGAAATTTACAGTTAAGATCCAAGTAGAATTAACTAAGAAGATGAGCCATTAAAAAATAATAATGATACTGTGTTAGGATTATTGGAAAACTTAGAAAAACCTAATAACTAAAATTTTTATCATAAAAATAACGACACCTAGACAAAACCTAAATCTCTAAGTCCAGAGGCTAAAAAATATTTAGAAAGGAAAAAGAAAGCAATTGAAAATTTGAATGATCCAATTTAGTCTGCAAAAGCAAAATAGTTAGTTACTGATCTAAAAAGATAAAGAAAAGAAATTGAAAACAGAAAGAATAAGCAATTGCATAATGAATCTGATTAATTGGAGGAAAGCATTGAGAAATATAAGATGGAACTAGAATAATAGAAGGAATTTCTTCATTAAGAGAAGAGGATGAAAATTAAAGAAAGATTATTAGAAATGTAGAAGCACCAAGAATTATAGTAGTAAAGAAATTAAGAGTAGAAACATCTTCTTAATGAATTGAAGAATAAAGAGAGGGAGAAAAAAAAACAATTAGAAGAGAGAGAGGAACTCTTAAAAAAATAGTATTACGAAGATGCCAAGGTAATTTGTTATTAGAGTATTAAAGCTAAAATTGCAACAAAGGAAAAAACTAGCCATCCCTATCAGATTGGAAGAAATAAACAAACATGAAGAGGATTACTTAAATAAGAAGCAGTTATTAAAATTGGAGAAGGATTAGAAAAAATTGGAAAGGGAGATTGTAATCCAATAAGAAACCAAGTAAATTTATAAAGCTAAATAAATTTTATAAAAAGTTATGGATTTGGATTCGAAATTCAAAAATAAAGAAATAGTAGAAAAATAATAAAAAGCTGAAAGACTAATGAGAAAGTAAAAATATGCAGAAATAGTTAAAGAGTATCATAAACCAAATATCAAGGTTTAAACAGATATTCAATTTAGTAGAGCTGTACACAATAGATCTGATAATTCACTTTAAGATGAATATGTTGAGTATTTAATTAAAACTACATATAGCTTTCTGAAAGAGGGGGATGCAAAATCAAGTGCAACCAAATTGGACTCAATTCGCAATAAATTCTATAAATAAACACAATAAGGATCAGGTATTATAACATGTAATAGTAGAAAGGAATGTACATAAAATTTAGAACGTTTTAAATGTTTAAAAAGTAAGTAAAACAAAAGTGACAGAATCATTGTAAAAGGGTTTTGTACCTAGTTCTTCAGTTTATTATCAACCAAAAACTATGAAGAATGAGGTATAGGAAGAACAATAGAGGAAGAAGCCAATAAACTATTTAAAAGAATTGGAATAGGAACGGATGAATCACTAAGGAAAGTTGGTAAGCAGCAGTGTTCCACGTTTGCAGCAAGATTATCGATCAATTATGGAGAGGGGAAAAAGGTATGAAAAGGAGGCCTAGCGAAAAGAGCATTAAGCGTATTATTTGAATGATGAGAGACTAAAGGAGGAGGCAGATGACTTATTTCTGAAGAGTGTATAAGAAAAAATACGATTTTTGGAGAAGATTTGATGGAATATTTTAAATTTAGTTATAAACTTGAAAATAGTGAATTATTTATAAATTTAAATTGTTGTTCTCTATTAAAGTTGATATATAATAATAATCAGTCGTTTTAGTTTGTTATTGAGAAAGTATCGAAGTGGCAACTGTAATGATATTATTATAATTTATGGTAATTAGCAACCTAATTGAAATCATTAAATCAATCTGTTGCAATCATATCTCAAAAATTATTATTAATAATATATATTATTTACTACAAAAATGGACCTTCCTCCTATTCCAATTTAAAAAATGTAATCATAATTAGGAGTTGATAATTTGGTATCATAATAACATATTTTCTATCAAAATACTCAGAATCAAGAAAGCACAAAACAACCTAAGTATTTAATGTAATTATCAAAGGCGAAACTTCAATTTAAAAGTGGGGGATATTGTGTATTTCAAGTCTTATTTGACCGACGACTTCAAAGGAGTAATATCTGGCGACGGAATTGCTAGCAATAAGTTAGAGTGTATTTAGATTTTGGGCAAAAATCAATAATTGACAGATCAATCGAAAAAAAGCTTACAATAGAAGGTTGGCAGTTTGACTTTTCAGAAAAGCTTATTTTAGGTAATTACAGGCAAAAAATATCAATATCAAAACTTTCTAGTTCAAGAACGTTCAAAATCCATTGATGACATTAGAGAACAAGCAATAAGTGAGGCAATCGACTTAGAATAATGTCAATTAGATTATGAAAGAAGATTGAAAGAACTTGAAGACAAGGCAAACGAAGAAATTATAGAAAACAAACGTTTTTATGATCTTGCTTATGGATCCAATATTGTCTATGGATAAGAAATATAACTTAAACACATATATTCTTCATGTATTCTGTCTTTTAATTGTGCTATATTGGCCAAAGAAAATTGTTGCAGAGAATTATCTTTAGAAGAAACTGCAAATGCAAATTCAAATTTTCGAATTTTATCAATGAATCAAGTCAAAAATCCTGGAGAACCTATTTTATATGGAGATTAAATAATAATCCAAAATTCAAGCTCGAATAAATGGTACCTGAACATCTAGAAGCAAACACAAAAATATGATAAAAAGGATGGATTAGAAGTTAACTGTTCATAAGTTGGATTTCCTATTAAGATTGCGAGTTATATTGATTATAAAACTGAATAAGATTTATAACAATAATCTCTAAAATAGAAATCACTATTGAGTGGAGATGTAGTCAAAATTAAAAATAGATATCTGGGTGGCTATCTCTCGATTCGAAGACAACTTAGAATAACTGAAGGACTAGATAAAAAAGAAGTATTTATTAAAAATTATGATACCAATATCTCATATTCAAAAGATTAATTTTATTTTAATGTAGAATAAGTAAGAACTGAAAAAATAGACTACATGTATTAATTATGCGTTGATTAATCAGATGATGCAGAAAACAATCTAAATAATTTATGGTAAATTCAACATGTTGATAGTTTAACCTTTTCAAAAGCAAATTACGATAGTGTTTTCTTAATAAGACATGTTTGTACAGGGTTATTCTTGGAAATATCTCATCATTCTGCCAATTTAACATATGATGGATTGAGACAGGAGTGTTAATTTCATCTAAGATCTAAGAAATCATCGAATGACTCAATCTTATTCAGTGAAGCCTATAAATTATAATCTGTTATGAATGTGTAGATCGACAATTACGTTACATAAGAAAATTTGGTCATCGTTTGTTTAGATGACAGAGTGACTGTATAAAAGAAAAGTTAAAAATAAAACATTGAAAGAGTAACATTTCTAATGAAGTTAGCCACTCCCGAGTAAGCTAAAACTGCATTTAGAATTAATTCTTTATAAGAATATTTAATTCAATTTTATATTTTTTTATAGGATTGGGGAATAATTAAGACATCAGCTTAAGGGTTGGAGGATATAAGAACTTATGATTATTTTGAAGCATTCAATAATTAAAAGGTATTATATGATGAAATTTTATAACTATTTCAAACTCTGGAAAACCTAAAAATGTATTTAACCAATGAGGGTATAGCATAGACTAACGAATAACTGTAATTTAAATAAAAAGCTTTAATGGATAATGATATTATTAATTTACTATTTGCGATTCAACGATTATGCAATTTTATGATATATGGTAGTTTGATCAATAGTAATTCATAAGTCGTTGATAAGACACCTTAAAAGATTGCAAAAATGAAACTTGATCCTGCTCCCTCATCATCATCAAAATTGAATTGCATATAAGAAATATACGATGTGTTAAGTTTGTGTGTGTAAAGAAATTCAGATACTAGTAATTATATTTTGACCTTAATGATGAACAAGGAAAGTGTCTTAGATTTCCTACTACAATAATTGAAATACTAAAGAAAACACATCTCAAATCTGATCAAGGAAAGCGTTAGGTATACAGATATGAGCGAATCTAAGGAAAATATTAAAAAATGGGTAAATCAATTGGAAAACTTATCTGAAGAAAATATTGAAGATTAAACTCTCTATATTGAAATATTAAGCTTAATCATGATAGATCCATATGAGAATCCAAATTAATTATGTTAGAGTGCTTGCAGAAGATTACTATTTGGAACAAAAAGTAAATAAGAATAATAGTATCCTTTTCATAAAGCCTTAGTTGCCTTAGACATATAAGAAGAGAATAATAATTATTATCCTATCGTTTAATTTTTTCCAAAAAGAGACAAAGGAATGTAGATGCAATTAGCTAATGAATTCGGTTAGAATAATCAGACTTTTTGTTAACTTTATCTAAGATTTATTGATAAATAGGCTAGACTTACTTAGCGATTTTAAGGCAAGAG